ACCCACCTTTTTACCAAACAGAATCACGTAGTGCTCTTTCACAGCAGCAGTGACAGACTGTTCGTATTTGAATGTGACAAACCCAAAGCCACGGGATTGAACATGGTCCCCTGACTGACTGCCGATCACAACAGCATCCACCACAGGACCAAAATGCTCCTCAAAGTACTCCCTCAGGTCATCTGTACCAAAAAAAAACAGGAGATTAGCATTCCATCATGATGAGAAAACGGCATAATTGGGCATTGCTACTGTCGCATACCTGATTCCACTGATGGTGTTAATCCACCAACAAATATTTTCTTCCCCAGTTCGTCAGGATTTGGCTGCAACCGCGATGAAGTAGGATCAGACTACTGCTGTCCAAATGGTCATACATCTTATCTGTAAACAACACTCACCTTGTATGGTGAACCCTTGAAAGTTCCGCCTCTTTCTAACTGCTGCTCCGCCTTAAAATCACCCAATCCACCGTGGCGGAGTAGCTCCCTCTCACCATGAGCAAAAAGGCAAGCTTCCCCACGAACACATCTGATGCAGCAAGTCAAACCATGAGGATTGGATTCAGGCAAGGTAAGACTTTTGACATGGTCCTTGCTAGCTAGTACGTACCCTCCAGCCATCCTGTAGTATCTACAAAGCTCCGTTTTTGGTGGAGGAAGGAAACGTGGTGCTGATGGCCTGCAAGTGACTAATAATTAGTTAGGACTAACAAACCAGAAATAGCGCACTCAAAAAAGACTGACCAAACTTACAAATCAAAATCTATTGAGCGACCCTTTTTCCTCTTTGGCTTCAGAAGAGAGCATCGAGCACCATGCATAGCAAGCTGTTGTAAGCGTGCGGCCACAGAATCCGGAGGCCCTGCGAAAAAAAAGCTCCTTATATTATTTCATAGAGTGCCAACCCTACTTGAGATATAGTGGAATCCAGGTGCAACAAACCTGCAGAAGTTTCCATTTCCAGAAGCCTTCTCCCTTCCTCGGTGGCAACATCCCAAGGGCGCTCCCCTCTGCATAAAAGAAATCACGTGAGTTGACTAGTAACATAAGGTAAATTCGAGATTTTTTTATTTTTTTTTTGGTCGCAAGCAGACCTTGAATTTGTGAAGAGCCTGTCTGCACCCCAGAAGAGCAATATCTTCACACATTCGGTGTGGTTGCCTCGTAAAGCCCAGAACAACGGCGTCTCCCGCGCCAGTGTCAGAAAGTAAACTGCAGCAGGCTCTCTCGCAACCATTATCTGACAAGAAAGGTAAATCCGCTGTCAAAAATTGCTTCATGGTTCATAACATAACGGATAAAACAGCAATAATTACCTTCAATGGGTCCGGATGTCCAAATTGAGCAGCAATATGTACAGGCGTCATTCCATCATTGTTTCCCAAGGAAACAGATGAGCCTGCCTCTATGAGCTTCCAGACAACCCTGCAAGCGTACTCACAACAAAGCATTAGACTCTAAACAGCAGCGAGCTCAGGCATCTGCATATAAAGTCATCAGACTTGCCCAATGAGGTTCGTTCCAGCAGAGGTACGTAGGCAACAGTGAAGTCCACTGTCTCCGTGGCAATCCGTCTCCAAAACTGAAGCTCCGCCATTCACGAGTATTCGGACGAGATCAGCATCAACAACCTGAAACATGAACACGATGATGTTGAGACAAATAGAACGCAGATGGTTTGAATCCATCACTCAGAGCAGGAAATCATACCCGCGCTGCCTTGATGAGTGGAGGCGTGAGAATGGAGTCAGGCCGGAAACCTGCCAGCCTTCTGTCCGTCCTGTTCAATATTGGCCTCCATAATGCAATCAACTCAAGCTCCTTGATTGCAACTTCGCGGCTCAGCCGCCAGCCATAAGCAGACACGCGGCTTTCTGCAGACATAAGTGCAATGTCCACAAGCATGTCGACTAAAGCGGTGTCTTCCCCATTCAGTTGAAACACCATATTAACGAGAGAATCCCCCACAGCAAGCAGAAGAGCAGCAAAATTTTCTAATATGCCACTCCAAGTCAGGTCCAAAACAAGCCTCCGAGCATCTCCCGAGTGCTTGAAAAGCAAACGAACCACATTCAATTCCTGCATGACATCGAAATCTGGTTAAAAACACTTCGGATTCTCGAATAGTAGATAATGGGAGCACCACTGGTCTCACCTGGATGTTCACTCGACTAAACAAACCCTCCAAAGTCTTGATTTCAAGAGGTTGCAACTTTGTCCTGCACAAGTATTGGCAAAAACGTGAGTTTACATAAACGAAAGAGAAAAGTAGATTGCATGCTAAGTCAAACATACCCGATGCTTTCCAAAACAGCATCAACAGCACGCTTGCCATCTCTGCATATAATCTCAGGATTGGCTCTTCGACGCAGGAGTAACTCAAGGCACTGAACGCTTCCGCTAACAGCAGCATTTCTCAAACACGACACGCCAGTGTCATCGGGCTGATCAAGAGAGAGCCGTTGACCATCATCCGACCTCCATTCAAGAAGAAACGCGAGACAGCTCACAGCATCCACCTTTACAGCATGATGCAAGACAGTAGCCACTTTCTGAAGCAAGTTGGAACCATTTTCTTGGCCCCACAGTCTCAAGGTTGCATTTAAAGCTTCAGCATTGTCCTCCGTGAGCACAGACGCCAGATTTCCAATACGGTTGTCAAAATGGAGCTGAAAACTGTCACTAGACGCAGGGACGCAGCGCTGTTCAGAACCCATGTTACTGATCTTCTGAGTTCCGGGATCACAAAATGTAGCAGCATCAGCAGAGAATGTTTGAGGAGAAAATGAAGATGACCCTTGAAATGCGTGAAAGTTTCGCAAGGACTCCATTTTAAGCTGCAAGAAACATGACGGAAAATCATCAGCATTTCCTCCATAAACTTCGATTCAAAGAGTGTCAAAAGACGTACCTCGCACACATGGATTGTCGTTGATTGCCAAAAGAATAGGTGGAGTGGTTGTTGGAGTAAAAAAATGATAATGAAGGGGGGTATCCGAGTCCTTTCGACGGACACCTTTGTTCTAAGTAATTTCCAAGGAAGTAGCCTCCCTCAGAACCTACATAAATGAAAGGATCGCCGAGTACATGAGATGAGATTAGCTTCAGCTGAAAGATGAAGAACAGAGTGTCCGTCCCACGCGACCTGCACTAGTTAGGCAATGGTCGCCCGATTGCCATGGCAATCTCCATGTCAACCACCATGACAACCTCCATGATGGATCATCCTCACGGAACCGCGCCATGGAATTCCAAATGCTCAGATTCCATTCATCCGCAATCCAGTATGTCCTTGGCGCGCTCCGTGCATGCCGCGGTTGGGGCCCACATGACGTGGAGAGCAAAATACGAACGCATGTTCGCTCTCACGGAACTACCAAGAACTGATCCACAACTTCGTCGAGAGAGACTTTGTACTTCTTATAGAAAGTATTGTTAACGCCTAAGGTTATGTAAGAAGCCGGAACCAAACAAAAATCAAACGCATACAGAACTTGGAAAAGAGAACAATCAGCCTTATTTTGTTTGTTTGACTGTTTTTATTTATATATTATATATAGCGAAGCTTTTAATTTTACTTTCATTTTTGTAGACTAGAATTTCAAGGCTGGTCGTTGTTTTGTATTGCATATGTTAATATTTCCATCGTTGCTTTGCTTCCAAAATTATGTTCGGAATTGATTTTTACAAGGATGCAATGTAGAGAAGCAAGAGCCAGCTAAGAGGATTAATGCTGAGCAGCCTCTAATCTGACTTTAGAATGGTTAAAGCGAGATGAATACATGATCAACTACATATAGAAGGCGGAAAGTGATGTGTTGCCTTATTGAGGAACACCACAGATAAGTGAACGATTTCTTCCCCACCTTGAAGTTGCCACCAGCACCCTCCCAGATTTCTCCACCATCCTCCTGACATTCCCTTGGTACCACTCGTTCCCCTCCCACTTGCAGCTTTCGTCTCAACTCACTCTTCACCAGATTCAACGCTGGCTCCGGTTTCCTTGCCAAGGTCCCTAATGTTCATCACCTGATGCCCGCTGGTAGTCACATTCCACCCGCACTTAGGCATTACCCACGTCAGCAGCACCTTCGGCGAATCCCATCATTGCCACCTACTGACGATTCTTAACGCGCCGCTTGGTACGTGTATTTCTTAGCAAAGCTCTACCCAATGGATACCTGCGCCGCCCAATTTAAGCTGCTTGACACGCGCGCGTGACGCATCCCAGTAGGTCCAGGGGCCGGATCATCGCTCCCAGCGACCGCATTGTCTCGCATGCACGGAACTTTGTCGCACGGGCAGAAAATGTCGCACGCGAGGGATGTCGCACAGGGGAAGGATGTCGCACGCATATTGTAATGTCGCACAGGCACCGATGTCGCGTGTGAATAGAAACACCGGACAGATCAGCTTCCGTTGAAGCGTCCCTTGGATTTCCCCCACTGGACCAGTTTAACCCTTTGTTCCTGCATCCGACATCCTGTAATCCATGGCTCCCATTTGCGCCACAGCCGGTCGCGTCACGTGCGCTAATGCAGCCGCGCCACGCCGTGACCATATTTGCGTTGGATGTCTGCGCATTCCTTTTCCTGTGCCTCCTCGCACCCACACTTACCTTCCCCCATCCCCGCCTCCCCATTTCCCTCCTTATTTCCGCCCCGCGTGCTGCACAATCTCCGAGCATTTTGCGCGCATTCCGGCGGTGGGTAAAAGCGGTGACTTTCCCCAGTTTCCCCCCCATGCCCCCTTTCCGCCTCCCTTCTTCTCCCCTTCACCCACCGCCCGAATCCCCGCCTTCGGCAAGCAATTTCCCCCCACGCTTGCGCGGACCGCGCGGATCCCCTCTCCCCATCCTTTCCTTAAATTTCCCCTTTTCCCCCCTCACCAGTCTAAGCCCGCAATGTCTGCACTCGCTTCCCCTTCCCCCCTCCCCCGTCTCTCCGTCCCTCACCGCCCTGACCTCCGCTCTCCGCCAGCGGTGCGCGCTGCGCGCCGATGTACGCGGTGGGGGCGCGCATCTGGGTGAAGGATGAGGAGGAGGCGTTTGTGGAGGCGGTGGTGACGGCAGTGGATGGCGACGCTATCGAGGCAGACGTGATCGGGCGCAAGGGGCCTCTGGCTAAGGTGCGTTGGTGGACAGATCTTGGAGCGCACTCATGATTTGCTGGCCAAGGAGCCTTGGATGGGGTGGGGGGGCCGAGGGAGTTTTTTTAGTTGAGTAGAGAATGATTTGGCAAGGTGCGCTGAAGGAAGCGTAGTAAGGACCATGTGGTGCTGCAGTGCGTGTTTTGAGGCGTTTCAAAGCAAGATGGAGAAATAGTGGAGTGGCGAAGGGGAGGGTGTGGAAGTGGAGGCAGCAGGTGTGGCGACGATGGCAGTGACCGTGGCAAAAGGAGCATGCTGTCCGGCAGCATGAGCCATACAAGAGGAGGGGAGAGTTTTAACAGTGTGGGGAGGCCGTGAGTCACTGCTTCACATGCCAGGCAGGCACCACAAATTTCACTCTGAGGCTCCCTTCCCTACACGCTACCCACTTACACACACCTCCTCTCCCTATAACTTCGCCATTCTCCTCTTCCCCTCTTTCCCCCCCATGATCATGTTTCTTCGCCTTTCGTTTTTTCCTCCTACTCCCCCTCCCCCCCTCCCCTCCTTCCCCGGCGCTTTCCTTCCCCCACCCCACTCCACTTTTCCCCCTCCCGTTCCCCCCCTCCCCAGCTCCCCTTCCCCTACCCCCTACTCCCCAGAGGAGCAGGAGGATTTGGGGCGTGTGGACAAGAGGACCAAGCTCGCCCACCTGCACGAGCCCTGATGCTTCTTGCACATGCACTCGCTCTCTCCATTAGTACCCCTCAACGTCCTCCCCTCCCATTCAAACCCCCCCCCGCCCCCCCCCTTTTTCCCCAGGCGCGCCTGAAGGCGTCAGAATGCCACCACAAGGAGGAGGACCTGGGGCTGGTGGACGACATGACCAAGCTCGCCCACCTGAACGAGCCTGGCGTGCTGCTCCCTGCACTGCATGCTCACTCCTTCTCCCCATCAATACCCCCCCTCCAACCCCGCACCGCTTCCCCTTCCCAGGCGCACCTGAAGGCGTCAGAATGCCACCACAAGGAGGAGGACCTGGGGCTGGTGGACGACATGACCAAGCTCGCCCACCTGCACGAGCCTGGCGTGCTGCACAATCTCGCCACGCGCTACCAAAAGAACCTCATCTACGTGAGTGCAAGGGGTGCGGTGCGGTGGGGTTAACTGCGACCCAAAAACCTGATTCTCGAGTCGACTCAAAAACCTGGTGTGCTGCACAACCTTGCCACGCGCTACCAAAAGAACCTCATCTACGTGAGTGCAAAGGATGCTGTGCGGTTCACTGCGGCTCCTGAGGCGCCTTGTAGGTTCCTTTTGAGGAGCGAGAAAAGTGGTCGCAATCCTGATTCTCGCCACGCGCTACCGCACGAACCTCACTTGTTTGAGTGTGTCGCGTGCTGTGCTGTGGCTGCAAAATTACTGCGCAGAGGCCATGCACTGTGCTGCTGTGCAGTGCAGTGCAGTCGAGTTCAGTGAAGTGCAGTGCAGTGCAGTGGAGTGCAGTGCAGTGCAGTGGAGTGCAGTGCAGTGCAGTGGAGTCCAGTGCTGACCTTGCTATCCGTTTCCATCCATCCCAACCGCTTTCTCTCCTCCTACCTGTACTCATACTCTCTTCATTGTTCCCCCTTTCCCCTCCCGCCCACCCATTCCTCACCCTGCAGACGTACACGGGAAGCATCCTGATAGCGGTGAACCCGTTTGTGCACCAGAGGTGACTTTCGAGTCGACTCTGCGGCCACCCCTCTTCCACTCCCTCCCTCCCCCCCCACCCACCTCACCCCGCAGACGTACACGGGAAGCATCCTGATAGCGGTGAACCCGTTTGTGCGTCTGCCAGCGCTGTACCACCCGATTATGAAGCTGCAGTACCGCGGGGCACAGCTGGGCGAGCTGGGACCACACGTCTTCGCCATTGCCGACCATGCCTACAGGTGGGTGGGCCGGGGAGGGGTCGAGGGGGCGTGCGGGCGAGTGGGGCCTGCTTGTTAGAGCTGGTTAGGCAGTGGAAATGTGGCGCCCTGCCATGGACTGCAAGAAAGGCTGTGGATGGTGCACGCGCCATATCATGCCATCATGCTGTCACGCTGTAAAAGGAAGGGGATGGGTTGGGATGATTTAAGCGAAATGGAAGCTCAAAGCCTCACATGAAACCATCATAAGGGGGTGGCCGACTGGTGGAGTTCCGGCAGTTGTCCAGCAACAGTAGAGCACTCGTGTCTCATGGCTCATGGCATGTCCTCAGTGCCATGCTGTGCTACTCGACCATCTTCCCCTCTCCCTCATCCTCCCTGCCTCCTTTTGGCAGGTCGATGGTGAACACAGGATCAAGCCAGTCCGTGCTCCCCTCACCCCTCACTCATCTTTTATTCCCGCACTTTCATCCTCAATCCCTTTCTCTTTCACCCTCCTCCCAACCCCTTTCCCTGCCCAACCCCAACCTCCCTCCCCCCATCCCGGCCCCTCCTCCTCCGCCCACCCCCGCAGGTCGATGCTGGACACGGGGCAGAGCCAGTCGGTGCTGATCAGTGGGGAGAGCGGGGCGGGCAAGACGGAGACAACGAAGCTGGTGATGGAGTATCTGGCGGGTCTGGGGGACACGGGCCCAAGCGAGTGCTTGCTCCCCTTGTTACTTAATCGCCTCTCCCTCACCATCAATCTCAACCCCTTCCGCTTCTTCTTCACCCCCTCAACCCCCACCCCGCACACCCCCCACCCTCTCCGGCCCCCACTACCCCCTCCGTCCAACCCCCGCAGGTCGATGCTGGATACGGGGCAGAGCCAGTCGGTGCTGATCAGTGGGGAGAGCGGGGCGGGCAAGACAGAGACAACGAAGCTGGTCATGGAGTATCTGGCGGGTCTGGGGGACACGGGCCACGACAACAGCAAGGGCGCGCCCAAGAATGAGGCCATGATTGCCTCTCAGCTCTGCGTGTCCCGAGTGCTTGAGGTGGGACAAGGGTGTGGGTGTGTGGTGGACTGGGAGGGAGAAGGGGGGGGATGATGTGGGAGGGGAAGTAATGGTGTCTGGGGCTGGCTGGGAAGTGTGGACTGAGGGAAGGGGCGTTTGGGGTGCGCCCAAGAACGAGGCCATGATTGCGTATCAGCTCTGCGTGTCCCGAGTGCTCGAGGTGGGACGATTGTGTGGTGGACTGGGAAGTGGGAAGGGTGGGCGGGCGCGTCTAGGCCGGGCCGCGGACTGTGATCCCATCCCGTGGGTCATTTTCCTCCAGAGTCCCGACCAGAACACTATGTCTCAATCCTCGTCCCGTACCCCTCATTTCAACTCCTCTCCCCTCCTCTCCTCCCCTCTCCTCTCCTCCCATCATCCCTGCCCTTCGCCCACCAGTCCAACCAATTGTTGGAGTCCTTTGGGAATGCCAAGACAGTGCGCAACAACAACTCCAGGTACCTGCTGCTGCAACCTGCCACCCTGCCAGGCATGTCTGGCCACTTCAAACGAGCTTCTTCTGTGATAGTGGGCTTATGGGTGCTACTTCTCCTCTTTTTCCCCAGCCTCCTCACCCTTCTCCTCCTCGTGCCATAGCTTTTTCTCCTCATTCTTCCCCTTCATGCTTGCACCACTCCTTCGTTCCTCCACCCCCCTGCCCACATACCCACGTGTGCCCTGCAGTCACTTTGGCATGTTCCTTATTATCCAGTTCGATGCAGCGGGGTGTGCATCGGATGCTTTTTGAGATGTCTCAAATCAAAAGTACTCCTTTGTTTCCCTCTCCCTCCTGCCCGCACCCCCATGTGTGACCTGCATGCAGTCGCTTTGGCAAGTTCATAGAGATCCAGTTCGATGCAGATGGGTGTGTGTCGGGTGCAGCCATCCGCTCGTACCTGCTAGAGCGGTCCAGAGTGGTGCAGATCAGTGACCCTGAGCGCTCCTACCACTGCTTCTACCAGCTCATCTATGGAGCCACGCCTGAGGTGAGGCTTGCCTGTGCAAACTGTTAGTTCTTGCATGTGCTCATGCACCTGCGAGAGAACGTGTGAGTCACCGAGGTGGTGCAGATCAGTGACCCTGAGCGCTCCTACCACTGCTTCTACCAGCTCATCTATGGAGCCACGCCCGAGGTGAGGCCTGCCTGTGCAATCTGTGTGCTTGTGCTTTCTTGTGAGTGCTTGTATATGCTCATGTGCATGAAAGAGTGTATGCGAGTCATTGAGGCTCAATGTTGAACAGCCTCTGCTCTGCCTGCTCATAAACTCCATTGTCACACCTGCATCTCCTCACATTTGCTTCCATCGCTTCCAACCGCTTTTTATCCCACCCACTCCAACCCCATCCATGCCGCCATCCCTTTACACCCATACCTCCCCCCTATTTGTCTCCTCTGCAGGAAGCCGAACTTTTCAAGCTACCCACGACAGGCGAGCGAGGCAAGCAGTTCCGGTACTTGAACCAGAGCGAGTGTTTCGAGCTGCCCGACAGCTGCAGCAACGCGGAGGAGTACCGCAAGACACGGCACGCCATGCAAGTCATGGGGTTCACCCTCGAGGAGCAGGTGAGGAGAGCAGGATGAGAACATAACACAGTATCTCATCGCATGCCATGGCATGGCATGGCATGGCACATGCTTCAGTACTCACCACTGGCATGGCTTAGCTTTGCATCGCATGTTTTGGCATGGCAGGCAAGGCAAGAGATCGATCTCAATTGTACTGAATGGAAGATACTAGGGCAGATCAAGCAGTCCGATTTCAATTGGCATAGCATACATGCCTGGCGGGGTTGTGGTTTGGCTGCTAGTAGCTGCCAGGATGGTGGTGCCCCATTGCCCACACCAGGTCATTGGGTGTACGTGCAGGAGTCTTGACATTGGACAGACAAGGTATTGTTTTTTATACAGTCCGTTACTCCTCCTGGATGTCTATAGCTCCCTCCTCTGCCGCCGGTCCCCCTGTGCCCGGCTGACTGGCCACACTGCAACTGCCAGCAGCCGTTTCCAAATTCCACCTGATGACAAGGCAAGCGGCTCGCCGAACTGATTAGGGTTTTATCGCTCGCTCTAGACTAGAGGCATACCCCGTGGTCACGCCTGCGTACTCCAATTCCCTAGTTCTCCCTGCGATCTTCTAATAGTCGCTTGTGCCTGTGACCTGTCCATGTGGCATGCAGACGGACGGGCATTCTGCGGCTGCTGGCGACCGTTCTGCACCTGGGCAATGTGCTGTTCCAAGAGGGCGACCACCCTCCACCACCTTTTGAGACGCTTCAAACTTTTCCTGTGTGTGCCTGTCTGTGCGTGTGGCATGTGCAGATGGGCATTCTGCGGCTGCTAGCGGCCATTCTGCACCTGGGCAACGTGCTGTTCCAAGAGGGCGACGAACCCCCACCGCAACTGGCAGGGGAGCAGTCAGACTTCCACCTCACCACCGTGGCTGAACTCCTGGGGTGAGTAGGGAGGGTCATAGTGGGGACATGACTTGAGGATGTGGCTTTTGAAGTGTGAGTCGAGTCAAAAGAGAGCGGCCACTCCCCCCCTTGCAACTGGCAGGGGAGCAGTCAGACTTCCACCTCACCACCGTGGCTGAACTCCTCCGGTGAGGAGTGAGGGTCGTAGTGGGGATGCGGCGGTTGTGATGCAGTGCAGGGGTGCTAAAGAGGAGGAGTAGGGAAGGTGGCAGGGCTGGTAGTTGGGACAGATAGAGCCAGTGTGAGGATCCCCTTGGCTCATATCACCTTTCCCACTCACATGGCTTATCCCACACATGGCGCATGGTGGGGGGCAGGAAGGTCTCCAAAAGCATGCTCAAACCACACGGTTTCTGAGTCGACTCAAATATGACCTCTCCTCTCCTCTCCTCTCCTCTCCTCTCCTCTCCTCTCCTCTCCTCTCCTCTCCTCTCCTCTCCTCTCCTCTCCTCTCCTCTCCTCTCCTCTCCTCTCCTCCCCTCTCCTCTCCTCTCCTCTCCTCCCCTCTCCTCCCCTCTCCTCTCCTCTCTCTCCTCTCCTCTCCTCTCCTCTCCTCCCCTCTCCTCTCCTCTCCTCTCCTCTCCTCTCCTCTCCTCCCCTCTCCTCTCCTCTCCTCTCCTCTCCTCTCCTCTCCTCTCCTCTCCTCCCCTCTCCTCTCCTCTCCTCTCCTCTCCTCTCCTCCCCTCTCCTCTCCTCTCCTCTCCTCTCCTCTCCTCTCCTCTCCTCTCCTCTCCTCTCCTCCCCTCTCCTCTCCTCTCCTCTCCTCTCCTCTCACACGCCCACACATCCACCAGCGTGCCCAAGGAGCCGCTGCTAGAGTCGCTGGTGACATACACACGCAAGGTGGGCCGCGAGGTGTTCAAGAGCCCGCTCAAGGCACAGGCCGCCGCTGCCAAGCGCGACACACTCGCCAAAACACTCTACTCCAAGCTCTTTGACTGGTGAGATGAGATCATGAAATGCCCTCCCTTTCCTCCCTGACTGCCTCTTCCTCGTTCTGTCGTCTGGTGATAGGATCGTGGCGAAAGCTATGGGGGGGAGGAATTGACAGGAGTCCCTCCTCCTCCCTGCTCCCTACTCTCCACTGCATTATCATCGCTCTGCCTCACTCCCCACCATTTTCTGAGTATTTGTCCGCCTTGTTTCTCACTCCATCCCCCTCACCCCTCTCAATGCCTCCACCATGTCTCCGTTCCTGCCTCGTGGCACTAGGATCGTGGTGAAGGTGAATGAGAGCATAGGGCAGGACCACTATCCACTTCATCAACACTACTGCTCTCTCCCGCTCCCCTCACCATGTTCTCAACTTCTCCTCGTTTCTCACTCCCATCTCCGTCACCCGTCTCAATGCCTCCACACCTGTTGCATGGCATCAGGATCGTGGCAAAGGTGAATGAGAGCATAGGGCAGGACCCCACGTCCACCATGCTCATCGGCGTGCTCGATATCTACGGCTTCGAGCACTTCAAGACCAACAGGTGCGCGCCTGCACGCATGCATGCTCGCACGAGTGGCAATCAAGCTGTTTTGGGCATCTTGTGAAAGCATCCCCACGTCCACCATGCTCGTTGGCATGCCCGATATCTCCGGCTTCGAGCACTTCAAGACCAACAGGTGCGCGCCTGCATGCATGCATGCTCGCACGAGTGGCAATCAAGCTGTTTTGGGCATCTTGTGAAAGCATCCCCTCATCCACCATGCTCATTGGTGTGCATGTATGCTCGCTATCCCCCTCCCTCCCTCTCTCTCTACCTCCCCCTCCTTCCTCACGCTCCCTCCCTCCCTGTCTGCGTGCGTGCCTGCCCGCCTGCGTTTCCGGTCCGCTCACCCCTCTCACAGCTTCGAGCAGTTCTGTATCAACCTCGCCAACGAGAAGCTTCAGCAGCACTTCAATGCTGTATGCTCCCCTCTCTTCCCAACCTCTTTCTCTTCAACTTGCCCGTCCCAATCCCTCTCCTTTCAACGCGCTCCTCCTAGCCTCTCTCCCGTCAGTGCGACAGTTCCTTACCATGCCACGGTGCCAATAGCACCCACCTAGTCAAACTGACCTTTGCTATGTCTGCTTATCCAGTGCATCCACATCCCATTATCCTTTCCAGTAATACCATGCCATACCATGCCACTAGCACCTACCTAATCAAGCAGACCTCTGCTGCATCTTTTTTTTCCAGTGCATCCACACCCAGTTACATGTTCACAGAATCTGGATGTTACATCCAGATCATGTTCTCCTTCCGTTGATGCATGTCTGTGTATGTATCTTTTGGTCTGGCCCTACTTGTCTGCTATCACGCTGCTCTCTGCGGCACCTCTCTCTCTCTCCCCCATAGTCTCTCACTCATGGCCATGCCCTGGCTGCATGGTGGTAGCACGGCTGAAGATGGAGCATGAGGATGAGTACACACACGCTTCGACTTCCGAGTCGAATCAAGACTCACCTCGCGTTGGCAGATCGTCTACATGTAACGCCTATTCACCTCCTCTTCCCTCCTTCACTTCCCACGCACCCCCTCCTCCCCCTCCCCCGTCCGCCCACCTCCTCCCCATCCCCTCGGTGGCATGGCAGCATGTGTTGAAGCTGGAGCAGGAGGACTACACACGAGAGCAGATTGACTGGAGCTAGTGACCTCTTTTCTCCTTCGTCGTCTCCCCCTCCCCTTCTCTCCCTCCCCCTGCTCACCCTCCTCCCTCCCTTCCGCATTCCCCTCTGTGTGGCACGGCAGCATGTGTTGAAGATGGAGCAGGAGGAGTACACACGGGAGCAGATCGACTGGAGCTACGTGGACTTCACAGACAACGAGGACGTGCTGGAGCTCATTGAAGGGGTGAGGGACGGGGTTGGAGAACGAAGGAATTGAGTGCGGTTCCTACCCGTAATCATGAGGAGAAGGAGTGTGGGCCTATGATTAGCTCTCCCCGCTGCTGCCAAATCCGCTGGAGCTGCCAGGTCTTCACGGGCAAGGGCATGCTGGACCGGAGAATATGGGAGTGCACTCGTTCACTAGTTCCTTGTTGCTCTACTGCGTGTGCACTCGCTCGCTTTGTGGGTTCTTCTCTCTTCCACCCACCACCTCTTCTCCCTACTCCACCTCTTGCTGCTTCTTCACCATCTGATGCCTTCATACTCTGTGATGTGAATGTGCTTGCCTGCCTGTGCGGTGTGTGTGGTGTGTGCTTGTGTCTGTGGTGTGGCTATATGCCATGCATTTGGTGTATGTGTGTGTGCACGTCTTGTCATGGGCTGCATGTGACTCTGTGTGACTCTGTGTGCGAGCAGAAGCAAGGCATTCTCAGCACACTGGACTCCACTTGGTATGCTATTCATCATGCTCCATGCTCTGACCTGCCTGAATTCACTTCTGCTCACTCACTCCACTCTTGTTGACTTCTATCGACCACTCTCTGTTCCACCACCCTCTCTTCTCCCCTCTCACACTCTCTCCCGTTTCCCGCTCCCTTATCCCCAGCCACATTTCCCGTACTCATTTTCCAAACCAGCTTTGCCTTACCCTACCTCTCATCTATTAACCTTATTGGAAATTTGCTGTCTAATCCATATCTTATACGTTTCCTCCCATCTGTCTATGGTACTTCCATGCTGCCTTCGATCTCTCCATTTCCCTCAACCCCTACTCCCTCCCCTCCTCGTACACCCTTCCATCTTGCACCACAATTCTCAACCTTCTCTACCCTCTTCTCCCCTCTCTCTCCCAGCACCACTCGTTCTTCCTCCCTTCACCACCCTCCCTTTCACCCTATTGCTCCATCAATCCACACTCCACCCCTCTCCCTTTGCACTGCACGTGCTCCCTGTGCAGCAAGACGCCCAACTCCACGCCAGAGACTTTCAGTCGCACACTGTACAAGCAGTACGAGGCACACGAGCGCTTCCTCTTTGGCAAGATGTCCAAAACGGACTTCACCATTCACCATTACGCTGGACAGGTGAGCCTTATAACGAGTATGGGCGTGTTCTGTGCAGGCAACCTAAGCACTGAGTTGTGAATCTGGTATTAATTCACAGTTACATTGCATGGATGCTTGATGTTCTGTGTGGGAGGAGCTCATCTTAATTCCCTGTTCTTTTGGGAGGGAATGCGCTGCTCTGCTGTGCTGAATCCTGGGAAAGAACGTGGATGGCAGTGGGTGGGCCGTCTCTCAGTATGACTTCCCTCTCCCCTGTTTCCCATGCATGCTTCCCCCGTTTCCCCACAACCCCCCATCCCACCAGGTGAAGTACCCAACAGTCGAGTTCCTGGTGAAGAACATGGAGTGGTGCCGGACCACTCGCTCATTCCCCTCCACTGTTTCCCACGCACCACCTCCCCCCATCCCTCTCCACTCCTGCCATCTTCACCCCCTTCTCCCTCTCTTGCTCGACGAGTTCCTGGTGAAGAACATGGATGCAGTGGTGCCGGAGCATGAGTCGATGCTGGGCCATTCCATTGCTTCCAACGCAAGGCCTCCCCTCACCCCTCACCCCCCTCCTCCCCGCCCACCCCCTTTCTCCCCCCTCCCTCTTCCCCCTCCCCCTCAGGTGAAGTACCTAACGGACGAGTTCCTGGTGAAGAACATGGATGCAGTGGTGCCGGAGCACTCGCTCATTCCCCATACTGTCTCCCATGCACCACTTTCCCCCACTCCTTCTCCCTTTACCCCCGTCTCTCCCCCCTCTTCCACCCCCCAGGTGAAGTACCTAACGGACGAGTTCCTGGTGAAGAACATGGATGCAGTGGTGCCGGAGCACGAGTCGCTGCTGGGCCACTCCGACCACGCCTACATAGCCCAGCTCTTCCCCCTCGACGCCGAGGCCAGCAAGGCCGCCTTCAACTCCCTCGGAAAGAGGTTCAAGGTGAGAGAGAGAGATGAGATGAGGTGAGCCCAGGAGGATTTGGAGAGGGGCATGGGGTGGGGCACAGGTGGAGAGGTCCTGCATGTGTGCTCGTTCTCGGCACAGTCTCCCTTAGATTTTTCCCTCCCGTCAGCCGCCTGCTCGTCCAGCGTTAACAATGCATCTTCTCATCATCTCACCCTGTATCCGCCACCCACAGGAGCAACTGGCAGCGCTGATGCGCACGCTCAACAGCACAGCACCACACTACATCTGCTGGTAACCTGCCTGTTTTCTCAAATGACATCTTCCCATCCCATCTCCTCACCCCGCCCCGCCCACAGGAGCAACTGGCAGCGCTGATGCGCACGCTCAACAGCACAGCACCGCACTACATTCGGTGTGTGAAGCCCAATAGCACACTCAAGCCGGGGGTCTTCACACGCACTCTGGTCATGGAGCAGCTGCGATCTGGGGTGAGTCATGGGCGTGTGTGGGTCACATGCAATATCAGCAGTGAGTCACACGCAATATCAGGGGGGAGATCACAGAGTGGGTAGCAGGAAGAGAGTTGATGAGCCTCAGATCTATTAATCCACCATGGAACAGCAGCAGTGAGGGTGAGACCCAATAGTGCACTCAAGCCAGGAGTCTTCACTCTCACACCCGTCGTGGAGCAGCTGCGATCGGGGGTGAGTCACAAGCGCGCGCGCGTGCGTGCGCGCGTGCGTATGTGTGTGAGTGTGTGTGTGTCTATGTGTGTGCATGTGTGGGTAGTGGCCACTGCTGGGGTAGAGGAAGAGGGGGGAGGGCACAGGAGGAAAAGGGTAGAGGCGTTTCAGGGTTGAATGGCACTCGCGGCAGGGTCTTGCAAAGGAGTTTGGAATGGAAAAGGTGCGAGACAGGTGAGAGAACAGCGTTAGTAATGCTTGGTTAACAGTGCACGCGGTGGGTGGGTGGGTGGGCAACCCCCTCTCAACCATATTTTGCCAATCCTCGCTGGTTTCTCTTCCTTCTTGCCCCATCATCTCCCTCCGCTCCTTCTCCTCCCTACACCTCCCGCCCTATCTCTCTCATTCCCCCAACCAGAGAGCTTTGGAGGCATGAGTGTGCTCCATGGGCTACCCCTTGGTGCACCACGTGACGTGATAGACGTATTGTTTTGACACGTCTCAAAACAAAACACTACTTCTATCCCATGCGCTACTCCTTGGTGCACCACACCACCGCCTTTACAGCCTACCCCTCATTCCAATGTCCTGTCAACTGCTTGCTTCCCCTTGACCCCATCCTCCGCTCTTCCCAGGGTGTGTTGGAGGCAGTGCGAGTGTGCTCCAAGGGCTACCCCACGCGGCGCTCCTTTGAGGACTTCATTGACAGATTCGCCTTCCTCGTGCCCTCCGAACTCTACGACGAGTCAGTGCCTCTTCCCGCCTGCTTGCCTGCCCGCCTGCCCACCTGCCCACCCAGCCTCCCTGCCTGCCCACCCGCCCACCCAGCCTGCCTGCCTGCCTGCATGCATGCCTGCATGCATGCCTGCATGCATGCCTGCATGCCCGCCTTCCCGCCCGCCCATCTGCCTGGCCTGAACACAACAACACCCAACACCTACGTCGGTTCTACTCTTTCTGATCTTACTAGTTCACCAAACCAGTGGTTCGTTTTCGATGCTCCCCACAGCAGCACCTGATCATGCCTCTTCATCTCCAGTCCGTCCCCCTGCTTCGCTGCCACATTCTTCCCTCTCCGCCCGGCAAACAAACTCCGATACATGAATCGTTTTGTAGCTTTGTCTCTTCCCTTTCCATTGATAAACGCAAACACACCATGAGCGTCACGCCCTGACTGACCCGACACCATCCACCAGAACCAGCCAGCAACCTTGACCCACTTGCTCCTTGCTGGTCACCCTCCTCATTTCCTACTGTCCCACGTGGTGCCACTGGTTGTGCACATGGATGGCAGGGCGGGCGGAGGTTGATGAGCTGGTGCGGGCAATAAATGTTAAGAAATCTCAAATTACCCGTTCATCCCGCTTGCGTCTTGGTGTTGCTCACCCACGTGCTTGCTTGCTTCCTGCCGCCCCATGTGGTGCCACTGGTTGTGCACATGCATGGCAGGGCGGAGGATGATGAGCTGGTGCGGGCGATCATGAAGGAGGCTGGCATTCAAGGATACCAGGCACGTTATACTTTAGGCTCACATGCAACATGTGTGCACACACGCATGCCAGCGTGCATGCGCACATGCACATGCTTGGACACACGTTCACACTTGTGCTCGCATCATGCTTAGCATGCACACATGGATGCATGCGCTGGCATGCCAAGATATGCACACTTATGCATGGGTGTGTGTATGTACATTCAGAGCGCACACCTCTACATACATGCATGCATGTGCACGCAATCTATCCCACACACGCCCCGCTACCATTCATGAGCTCCCCACCCCGTTCACAATACTCCCACCCCTCCCGCCCACCCCTCTCCTCCCTCCGTGCCTCTGCACTGCACCCTCTGTGTCAGGCTGACCAAATTGTTTCTACAGAAGGGACAAATGATGGTTCTTGTTGATAGAAAGAAAGAAAGAAAAGAACATAAGTCATCTACCCCCCCTCACCCCCCTTCCTCCCTCCCCCTCTACCCCCCCTCACATCCCCTCTTTCCCCTCTCCTCCCCCCTGCACACGCTCAGATCGGGCTGACCAAGGTGTTTCTGAGGGCGGGGCAGATGGTGGTGCTGTTGGACGTCTGACCAATCAAAACACACCCCTTCCTCCCTCCACCCACTCCCCTCCTTCCCCCCCCCTCCTCTTCCCCCCTGCACACGCTCAGATCGGGCTGACCAAGGTGTTTCTGAGGGCGGGGCAGATGGTGGTGCTGGAGACGATGCGGCTGAACCGCATGGCGGAGGCAGCGCGCACCATTCAGAAGTACTTCCGGGCCTACCTCTTCCGCCTGCACCGCAAGCGGGCTGCCCTCACCATCCAGAACCACTGGCGAGGTGCGCCTGTGCTTGCTTGCCTGCTCTCTTGCGTGCTCACTGCACTTTTGAGGTTTCTCAGGAGTTTATCTCTTCTGCTTGTACCGCAACGCAAGCGGGCTGCCCTCACCATCTAGAACCACTGGCGAGGTGCGTGCGTCCGTCCGTCCCTCCGTGCTTGCTTGCCTGCTCGCCACACTGCACTCATGGTGCCGTCACGCCATGGGATGTGTTCTATCGTGCCCTGGTGCCTGCCGTGTTGGTTTGTGACATCGCGCGTGCTGCGCCATGCCATGCCATGCCATGCCATTCTGTGCCGAGCGAGCATGTTCTCCGTGTTGTTCAAGTATGTTCTCCGTCGTCATCTGACCAATCTCCATCCATCATTCCATTTACACCCATCAACTCCTCTCCATCCATCTAGCCGTCATTGCATCACCACCCGCCTTGCTGTAAGTTGAAGGGAAAAGGAACTCGTCTCTTGATTGCCAAGCCAACATCCCCATCTAGCCCATGCCCCCCCTTGCCCATGGTCCACCCCTCTCCATCTCCCCACATACCCCAGGCTACAAGGCACGGGAGCAGCTGCGGGAGCTGCGGGAGTTCAAGGCGGCGCAGACGATTCAGAAGTACACGCGGCGATGGATTCACCGGCGCCGCTTCCTGGACATGCGCGAGGCGCAGATCCGCATCGCTGCCCACGTGCGCATGCACCAGGCGCGCACGCACTACATCTTCACCCGCCGCACCCTCGCAGCTACCAAGATACAGGTGCGCTCGTTTTGAAATGTCTTGAAAGGCGGGGGTTGAGGTGACACAAGAATTGCTCGCACTGCCCTGTAGCTTGCAACTTCACTGGTTGAGACACAATGGTTGACTGCCCCACTTGCTTTTTTCTTGTTGGCTTCTCCCCGTCCACTCACCACACCACAGGCCACGTGGCGAGGGTACAACCTGCGCAAGCCATACTGGGCGCTGCGGCGGCGGCTGCAAGTGCGGCTGGGGCAGAGGCGGCTGACCAGGATGAAGGAGGTGAGAGTGGGACGGGCGCTTGTTGTGGGGGCAGGGAGGAAGGGAGGGTAGATGGTTCGTGGAAGGTGAGGCCAGTGCTGCTGCTGCAACAGGTCGCAGACACGACACAGAGGGGTGTGTTACAGTCACAAGGTTATGGAGGGGTGTGTTACAGTCACAAGGTTATGGAGGGGTGTGTTACAGTCACAAGGTTATGGAGGGGTGTGTTACAGTCACAAGGTTATGGAGGGGTGTGTTACAGTCACAAGGTTATGGAGGGGTGTGTTACAGTCACAAGGTTATGGAGGGGTGTGTTACAGTCACAAGGTTATGGAGGGGTGTGTTACAGTCACAAGGTTATGGAGGGGTGTGTTACAGTCACAAGGTTATGGAGGGGTGTGTTACAGTCACAAGGTTATGGAGGGGTGTGTTACAGTCACAAGGTTATGGAGGGGTGTGTTACAGTCACAAGGTTATGGAGGGGTGTGTTACAGTCACAAGGTTATGGAGGGGTGTGTTACAGTCACAAGGTTATGGAGGGGTGTGTTACAGTCACAAGGTTATGGAGGGGTGTGTTACAGTCACAAGGTTATGGAGGGGTGTGTTACAGTCACAAGGTTATGGAGGGGTGTGTTACAGTCACAAGGTTATGGAGGGGTGTGTTACAGTCACAAGGTTATGGAGGGGTGTGTTACAGTCACAAGGTTATGGAGGGGTGTGTTACAGTCACAAGGTTATGGAGGGGTGTGTTACAGTCACAAGGTTATGGAGGGGTGTGTTACAGTCACAAGGTTATGGAGGGGTGTGTTACAGTCACAAGGTTATGGAGGGGTGTGTTACAGTCACAAGGTTATGGAGGGGTGTGTTACAGTCACAAGGTTATGGAGGGGTGTGTTACAGTCACAAGGTTATGGAGGGGTGTGTTACAGTCACAAGGTTATGGAGGGGTGTGTTACAGTCACAAGGTTATGGAGGGGTGTGTTACAGTCACAAGGTTATGGAGGGGTGTGTTACAGTCACAAGGTTATGGAGGGGTGTGTTACAGTCACAAGGTTATGGAGGGGTGTGTTACAGTCACAAGGTTATGGAGGGGTGTGTTACAGTCACAAGGTTATGGAGGGGTGTGTTACAGTCACAAGGTTATGGAGGGGTGTGTTACAGTCACAAGGTTATGGAGGGGTGTGTTACAGTCACAAGGTTATGGAGGGGTGTGTTACAGTCACAAGGTTATGGAGGGGTGTGTTACAGTCACAAGGTTATGGAGGGGTGTGTTACAGTCACAAGGTTATGGAGGGGTGTGTTACAGTCACAAGGTTATGGAGGGGTGTGTTACAGTCACAAGGTTATGGAGGGGTGTGTTACAGTCACAAGGTTATGGAGGGGTGTGTTACAGTCACAAGGTTATGGAGGGGTGTGTTACAGTCACAAGGTTATGGAGGGGTGTGTTACAGTCACAAGGTTATGGAGGGGTGTGTTACAGTCACAAGGTTATGGAGGGGTGTGTTACAGTCACAAGGTTGTGGAGGGGTGCGTCCTTGTTGTCATGCGGGGAGGGGCTTGCATGCAGTGAGTGGGTGGGACGCTGGTGCCATGAAAGAGGAGACACATGATACACTCGCATGATAAACTAGAGTGGGTGGGCTTGTTCATAGTACTACTCTGCCACCAACGAGCATGATAGAGTCATAGTGCTCGATCACTCGCATCAGATCAAACTACCACTCCTGTCTCCACCCCGCCCCACCCCACCATCTCCATCCCCCTCACCTCTCTGCTGTGTGGCAGGCGGCAGCAAGGGCGGCACTGCTGGCGCCCCCCCGCACCAAGGTGGAGGCTTCCCTGGAGCAGCTGCGCCTCAAAGTGCTGCGCTTGATGAAGGTACGCATGCCCTCTGCTCTCCTGCTTTCCTCCACGACCCTGACTCCCTCAAGACCCTGACTCCCTTACGACCCTTACTCCCTCACGACCCTTACTGCTGCCTTGGGGCCTCAACCAAGCACACATGCATGTCAAAGCCATCTCAATTTTCTTCCTTCCACCCCTCTCTTCAGATCCTTTCTTAAGTCCCCCCACAATTCCCCCAAGCCTCACACCTCCTCCAATCCCCTCTTCTAACCCGCACAGCCCCACTCCTCTCTTCTCCTTCCCCCCCTCTCCCTCCTCATCCCGTGCACACGCTTCCTCCATCAGACCAAGAAGGAGAAGAAGCGGAAGGAGCTGCAGGAGCAGCTGGACATCGCCCTGAAGGAGGTAGAAGCCAAGCCCAAGGAGAACGCCCAGCTCACTCAACGCCTAATTTCTTAGTCGACTAAAAAACCCACACCACCCAATTCCTCACACACCTCCCCATCCTGCAGACCAAGGAGGAGAAGAAGCGGAAGGAGCTACAGGAGCAGCTGGACATCGCCCTGAAGGAGGTAGAAGCCAAGGCGAAGGAGAACGCACAGCTCACCCAACGCCTCAAGGAGGAAACAGCCCGCGCACACCGCGCAGAGGAGGAGCTCCGGTCGCTCATCGGCCACCCCGACTACCCCGCTGCTGCTGGCGGTGCCGGTGGTGGTGGTGGTGGTGCCGCCTCCCACCACCACCAGTCCGGCCTGCCGCATGCGCTTTCGAGAGGCGGGGTTATGCACTCGCCCGGTGTTGGGCGCCGGTTTGCCAAGGGCGCGTCGCTGGAGGCGGAGAGGACGGGGGGAAGGGACGGGAGGGGCGTGTGGGGAGCGGATGTTGCTGCGGCGGCCGCAGCTTCTGTTGCAGGGGTGGAGGAGGGGGGCGCGAGAGGGGAAGGGAGCGGGTCGGAGCTGGAAATATCAACAACTCGGGCTTCAGGACTGGGGTTTGCTGCTAGGATGAGGTCACCGCGAGTGGGCGGCTTTGATATGCCGGGATTCGGGGGGTCTGCGAGCGTGGGAGGAGCGGAGGGGAGGGGGCCGGTACAACGGTCGAAAGCGTGGGCGAGAGTGAAGGCACGGAAGGGCGAGGTGCTGCAGATGAGTGATGATCCGGACATGGCAACTGCTGCTGCGGTTTCCTCTGCTATGGGTGCACCGAACGCAGCGTGGGGGAAGATGTTTATCCAGATTGCACGGCTGAATGAGGAGTTGGAGAAGTTGAAGGAGGAGAAGGCGGGGGTGGAAGAGAAGGTGAAGGAGGAGCGGCTGCGGATGGAGGGGATGGAGCGGAAGGTGGAGGCGTATGAGGGCACGCTGCAGTCCCAGGAGAGCCTGATCAAGGAGATGCAGGGGAAGATGAAAGAGCTGCAGGAGAAGCTGAAGAAGTGAGGCCGGGGTGGGGAGGGAGGGCAGGGGGGATGGGAGGGAGGAGGGAGGGGAGGGAGGAGGGAGGGGAGGGAGGGGGGAGGGGAGGGAGGAGGGAGGGGAGGGAGGGGGGGAGGGGAGGGAGGGGGGAGGGGAGGGGATTTGAATGGGTGTGTTGGGTGGGTGGAGTGAAGAGGGGGGAGGGGAATGGAAGGGTGGTGAGATGGGACAGGTGGAGTGAGCTGTTGTGTGAAGGGACGGGTACAGGGAGGGGTTTTGGTCAAGGAGTGGAAGGTTGTTATCGTTTGCTTTACAACCAAGGTCAATTCTCCGTCAAAAACCTTGGTAACCACCCACCCACCAACACACCCACCCACCCACCCACCAACCTGTACCCAGAACAGCCATACCACACCACACCATCTTTCATTGTGTTTTGCACCGTGTCCCTCCCACCATCATTCTCACATGTCCCTCTCTTCCAACCCAACCCAACCCATCCAAATCCACCAACCCTCCCAGCAAGGACGAGGAGGTGCGGGAGCTTTCCTGGAAGCTTCTCGACGAAAGCATCGAAGGGAGGAGCGGGGGTGGGGGGCAGGGAGGAGGAGGCGAGGCAGGGGCAGCAGGAGGGGAGGAGGAGGTATTGAGCCGGCCAATTGCAGGAGGGGGCCTGCAGATCGCTGTACCTTCATCGCCTCGCATCTCACTCCCACCCATGTCCTCCCATGGGCCTCCAGTGTCGCCCAACAAGCTTAAAGCCCAGCTTGAGGTGGGGCTTGGGTGGGGTGGGGCGGGGTGGGAGGGGTGGCGTGGGTGGATGGGTGGGTGGTGGTGGTGGTGGTGGTGGTGGAGGTGGAGGTGGTGGGAGCATGGCAGAATGGTAAAAATAGGCATACTTTCCCTAAACAGACACTAGCCCTGCTAATCTCCCCATCTCACCCGCAAGACTTTTTGCCTGTTCACGCTGCTGACAACCAACATGTACGGTTTCTTACAGCATGCCTATTCTATTCCTTGTCTGTATATGCGCAGTCTCCCTTGCACCCGCCTTCCCTTCCCCTGCCCTCCCCCTTCCCCATCCCCCTGGTTCACCCTTCCCATCTTTCTTCCCTCCCCCTTAACCCTCCACTTCCCAAACCTCCCCATCCCCTCCCCCATCCTCCCCTCTTCCCCTTCCCCATCCCCTCTCCCCTTCCGTCCTCATCCCTTCCCCCAAAACCCCCTCAGGACTGGCTGCTGACACTGGTGACCACCGACATATGTATGGCTTCTCAGACACGGCTAGTAGGCAACCCCATCGTTCATTCATACGCATCTCCCGTGCACTCCCTTTCTATCCCCCATCCCCCCCTCATAACCGGCTGCTAGCACTGGCAACAACCAACATGTATGGCTTCCAAGAGCATGGCTACCCCGTCACCTGCATAAATGCAATCTCCCTTATGCCCCTCTTGCCCTCCTCCCCTCCTCTCCCCTTTCCCCTTCCCTGCGCATCCTCGCCCACCTCCCTTTCCCCGTCCCCCACCCACCTCAGGACCGGCTGCTGACGCTGGCAACGACCAACATGTACGGCTTCTCAGAGCACGGGCACCCCATCGTTCGTACATACGCAATCTCCCTTGCACCCTCCTTCCTTCCCTGCTCCCTCCCTTCCCTTCCCCCCTTCTCTATCCCAAACCCCCTACTCACCACCCCCTCAGGACCGGCTGCTGACGCTGGCAACGACCAACATGTACGGCTTCTCAGAGCACGGCCACCCCATCGCCATGTGCACGCTCTACAAGGCGCTGGACCACTGGAAGACCTTCGAGGCCGCGCGCACCAACACGTTCGACCGCATTATAGAGGCTCTGCAGCTCGCCACGCACACTGGGAGTTTGCAGATGCTCGGGTACTGGCTGAGCAACACGGCCACTCTGCTGTGCCTGCTTGAGACGACGCATACGAAGCGCGTGCAGCTTCGGCAGCAGAGCGGAGGCGGCAGCGGGTGGTTTGCGTGGGGCGGCGAAGGGGTGAGTGGGGTGGGAGGAGGGGAGTGTGGGGTAGCGGGGTGGGCGTGGGGGGTCGGAGGGTGGCAGTTGAGCGAGGGAAGGAGGGGGGGTTGATTAGGTTGGAGCTGAGAATGCAAATGCAAATGACGAGTTCAAGGGAGCTCAGAAATCTACCGTGTTGTGCTGATGGTCTGCTCATTATGGGGGGCGGGGTGAGAGGGATACTGGGGTGCTGGCTGGGAGGAGGGGAAGGGATGAGCATGGATGGGAGGCAGGGGGCATGGCATGTCTCAACACGCGCCTGAGGCTGGCTGGGGTGGACCCACTCGCCTCTTCCCAACCTCCTCTCCCCCTCACAATGTTCCCCTCCAGGCGGCCTCGTCGGACAGCAAGTCGGTGGTGGACCTGACGCTGTTCAAGACGCAGCTGCGGCTGGCAACGTAATCCCTAACTTCCCTTCCCAAACCATCCCTCTGTTCCCTCAACCCTTGACCCTTCCTCCAGGCAGCCTCATCAGACAGCAAGTCAGCGGTGGACCTGACACTGTTCAAGACGCAGCTGCGGCTGGCAACGGAGCGCGTCTCACGGCCTTTTTCAAACCAATTGCCCATCCTTCCTCCCTTCTCCCTCGCCTCCTCTCATTCTCCCCAGGCGGCGTCATCAGACAGCAAGTCCGCAGTGGATCTGACGCTGTTCAAGACGCAGCTGCGGCTGGCAACGGAGCGCATCTATGTGACGGTGCGCGACTCCATCAACAACGAGCTGCAGGGCCACTTCGGCAGCGGCCACCTCGTCGGCCAGGTGGGGTCTGGTTGGGTTGGGTTGGGTGTGGCTGTTGAGGCTGCTGGGGCGTGTGGGGAAGGTGACCGGGTAGGCTGCTGCTTCTGGCGCTGCTGGTGCATGGCATGGGCTGGTCGGGCTGATGGTCGGTCAGTTGGGACAGGTGGGTTGCTGGAGTTGGATGGTTACACACAAAGGGGGACGCACAATGGGGTTGCTTTCTTGAGGTTACCCCTGGGACAGGTGTCATGAGAGAAACGGGATTATTGAGATGCCGAAAATGCAGCCTCCCTTCCCCACCCCTCTCCCTTACTCACCCCCTACTCCCCCTCCCACCGTTCCCCCACCCCTCTCCCTCCCCCATCAGACCCCCCGCAAGGCATCAGCCACCCCAACCCCCCGGTCCCGGCGCTCTCGTGGGGGCTCCTCAGGGGGCGACCGGTCGTCCCTGCCGCGCTCGGCAGGCAGCATGCGGCGGCAGATGCTGGACTACTGGGGGAACGTGCTGGAGACCGTGGGGCACATGGTGGCTGCACTGGAGGATAACCATGTGCCGGTGTTCCTCATTCAGCACGTGCTCAGGCAGCTTCTGTCTTATGTGGACCTACGGGTGTTTAACAGGTGAGGAGCGGGATGCGGGGAGGATGTGGGGGAGAAGTGCGGGGGATTGAGGGGAAAAGGGGATGTGTGTATGCGGGATGGGCAGTGACCAGCTGCACTGGAGGATAACCACGTGCCGGTGTTTCTGATTCAGCACGTGCTCAGGCAGCTGCTATCCTATGTGGACCCGCGGGTGTTCAACAGGTGAGGAGAGGGTCAGGGGGAGGTTTGGGGCCGCGGGGAAGAGGGACAGTGTGGTTGGGGGAAAAAAGGGATGTGTGTGGAAGGATGGGGAGTGACAGTGGGCCACATGGTGGGTGCCCTGGAGGACAACCACGTGCCGGTGTTCCTCATTCAGCATGTTCTCAGGCAGCTTCTGTCCTATGTGGACCTGAGGGTGTTCAACAGGTACGAAGAGGGTGCGAAAGAGGATGTGGAGGAGAGATGATGTGAGCGGGATGGGAGGGACCACGTGCCGGTGTTCCTCATTCAGCACGTGCTCAGGCAGCTTCTGTCTTATGTGGACCCGCAGGTGTTCAACAGGTGAGGAGCGGGATGGGGGAAGTGGGTAGAGAGTTGGGGGACAGTGGGATGTGAGCGGAGGGCATTGGCCGCGCGTCGGTGTTCCCCACCCACCGTGAGAAGAGGTGAGCTAAGGGTGCTCAACAGGTGACCATGAGCCGCATGGACGATATGGGGATGGTTTGTGGCATGAAAGAGCGGATGAGGACCCACACACATTCCCCTCTCCTTCATCCCTTCACTGCTCTTGCCACACCCATTCTCACACCCATCCCCCTCCCCACTCTCATTGCAGCCTCATGGTGCGCAGCCAGTGGTGCCCGTGCAACTTCAGCAATGGGGAGACAATAGAGGAGGGCATGGGAAAGCTGGACCGCTGGCTCACAGACCTGGAGATGAGCCATGCCAAGCGCGCTCAGGGGGGGCTACCGGGGCTGAAGGATAGCCTGTGCCATGTCCGGCAGGCCGCTCTGCTGCTGGTGAGATTCTCGCCCTGTTCTCCCCATCCGAGCCCTCTACCTGACACCGTCTACCCGAAACCGTAGTTCTTGTTCCCTCCCGGCTCCTGTTCTTTCCTACGTCTGTGCCATCCTTTGAAAGATACAGTCTGTGCCATCCTTTGAAAGATACAGTCTGTGCCATCCTTTGAAAGATACAGTCTGTGCCATCCTTTGGCCATCCGCGCCAGTCTGTGCTGTTTCACCTGCTCGTATGTTCTTGATTCCCTTCTCTTCCTTTCCACTCCCTCTTATCCATTACCTGTTCGCATCCCTTCCATCACCCTCTCACAGCGTTCCCCAACAGCAACACACACCCCCACCCCTGCTGCACACCGGATGTTCAGTGGTTCCACCTTCCCCCCCCACTCCTTTTCCCGACCACATACTTCCTCGGGACCCCACCACTCCTCTCCCTTTTACCCTACTCCCTTCTCCCCTCCCCTCCTCTCCCGACCATCAACCCTCTCCCACCCCTCTCCCACCCCTCTCGCACCAGGTGATGAAACGAAGCGCAGGGCGACGGCGGAGGTCATAGATTGAAGTTCAATTCAGCTCCAAGGGCTTCACCGCTCCTCTCCTCCCTCCCCATCTGTCCCCCTCCCCCAACTGCCCCACACATCTCCCTCTTTCCCCCCAGGGCAATGAAAAAGAAGCACAGGGCGACAGTGGAGGTCAGGAGGTGTCTTTGGTTTCGACTCAAATTGCCCCACCGCTCTTCCCTCCTCCCCCTTTCCCCTCCCTTTCTCTCAACCGTCCCCCTCCTCTCCCTCCCCCCTTTCCAGACGATGAAGAACAAGCACAGGGCGACGGTGGAGGACATGCGGACACTTTGAGTCAACTCCAGCAAACCACCACGCCTCTCCTCCCCTCCCCCCACCATCTCCCCTCTCCTCCCTCCCGCCCCACAGACGATGAAGAACAAGCACAGGGCAACGGTGGACGACGTGAGGAAGCTGTGCCCGGACCTGAACGGCAAGCAGCTGGGCAAGATCTGCCTCTGGTACCAGGACGAGAAGTACGGCACCCTGGGCTTCGACCCCGATGTGAACTACGAACTCAGTGATTTGGCGGACGATGACGATGCTGAGATGCTCAAGGATGACGAGAGGTGCGCGAGAGGGGAGGGTGGGGTGCAGGGCTTGTGAGGGAGGGCTTGTGTGGTTGCGGTTGTGCATGTGCATGTGCATGTGCGTCGGCCCTGATGTGAACCACGAGAGTTCAGTGACCTGGCGGATGATGACGATGCTGAGTTGCTCAAGGACGATGAGAGGTGCGCGAGAGGGGAGGGGAAGCGGTGCCAGGGGTGTGGTAGGGGTGAGGGGGTTGAGGGTGCCGGGGAGGGGAGCTCAGTGACCTGGCGGATGATGACGGTGCTGAGATGCTCAAGGACGATGAGAGGTGAGAGAGAGGCGTGTGGAGAGGAATGCAGGGGGCGCATGGGGTTTTGCATGCAAGCCTGCCAGCCATGTGTGGTTGTGCATGTGGGCTTGACCCCGACGTGAACTACGAGCTCAGTGACCTGGCGGATGATGATGATGATGCTGAGATGCTCAAGACGATGAGAGGTGAGAGCGAGGGGGGAAAGGGAGAGGTGGGAGGGGTGCATGGGGGTGGGGTGTGAGGGAGGGGTGTGGGGGCGGGAGTGGTGGGGTAAGGGAGTGGGAGAGGGGAGCCATGCAACCAGGCGAATTCCGCCAACAATCAAGGCCACATGCTCATTCCCACTCACCCCACCCACCACCGCTCGCCCCTCCTCCCCCGAGTGTGCCCTTTGCTATCACGGACCTAGTAGCATCTATGGGAGAGATTAGAGATTACCCAGTCAACATGCTCATTCTCACTACCACGAACTCTCCCTCTCTGCACCCCACCCCCCCCCAGTGTGCCCTTCGCCATCACGGACCTGGTAGCATCCATGGGAGAGATCAACCTGGAAGAGGTGCCTTTACCTCCTCTGTGAATTCTCAAAAGTGACACCAACATACCCTCTCTATGCCCCTCCCCTCCCCTCCCCTCCCCAGTGTGCCCTTCGCCATCACGGACCTTGTAGCATCCATGGGCGAGATCAACCTGGACGAGGTGCCTCTGCCGCCCGAGCTTCGTCGCGACCCGTACTTCCGCTTCCTGCAGCCCACTCCTGCCACCGAGCCCCAGCAGCCGCCCAAAGTCCCCACCACTAAGAGCGTCACGCTCCCCACGCCCACCAGAAGCTTCTGGGGCTGATATGATTCGATTTGATGTTGGGACCAGTCAGGTGCGGCTGTGGAGGGCATAGGCATTAGGAGCATCAGCTTCAGCAAGCCAACGGTTGCTTTTTCTGGATGCACCTGGGAGAGGCACGGGAGGAAATCTGGTATGAGAGACGAGGGACTGTTGCATATGTGCGTGGGCCCCAGAAGGGGTGATACCGTAGGCTTTGGCAAGTGCCTGCCGCAATCCGGTTAGATTTGATGTATGATTATCAAATTGAGAAAGCTTGCTCTCTGTTCTTGCAATGGCAACGTGCTTCATTAGAATTGGGGTGATTACAGCATTCTCGTCCAACTATCAATTGTACACATGTATATGACCAGGGTGGGTGGGTGAGGACTGTAACTACAAAGTTCGACTGAAGACGTGGGTGGAGGCCAAATGGCCTCCAACCCTCGTTATATACTCGGCGAATGGTAATTTGCAGTTGCCTTGCTGCGCTACAGTCAGCTGCGCTTTCACATTACACATTTTTAGAGAGTGTTTCACACTTTTAAAAAAAATCATGTTCCTCTTGTCAAATGTTGTAGCCTGTAGTGAGGTTTGTCTTAGGGGGTACAGAAGTTAGGGTTTGTCATATGTACCCCAACCAACATCAATGGAACATTCATTCCTCATTCTGACATGGTATCAGCTAGGTTAGGATCCTGTGGGATCCCGTTCCTCCGTTCTCGGTTCGTACCTCCCGAGCCTGATCCTACCTCTCGTTCGTATCAGTTTCGTTGTTACCGCGCCTAGTACCGAGCCTAGCGCCATCTCCCCCGTCGCGTCACGCCCGTTCCCCCCCGTCGTGTCGCGCCCGTTCCCCCCGTCGCGTCGCGCCCGTTCCCCCCGTCGCGTCGCGCCCGTTCCCCCTGTCGCGTCGCGCCCGTTCCCCCCGTCGCGTCGCGCCCGTTCCCCCCCGTCGCGTCGCGCCCGTTCCCCCCGTCGCGTCGCACCCGCCTGTTTCCCCCCCCGTCCCGTCGCCCTGTCCCGTCGCGTCGCCCTGCCCTGTCCCGTCGCCCTGTCCCGTCGCGTCGCCCTACCCCGTCGCGTCGCCCTGCCCTGTCCCGTCGCCCTGCTCCGTCGCGCCGCCCTGCTCCGTCGCGTCGCCCTGTCCCTTCGCGTCGCCCTGCCCCGTCGCGTCGCTCCCGCCCTTTCCCCCGTCGCGTCGCCCTCCCTAGGCCCTGGCCCGTCGCCCTCCCTGGGCCCTGGCCCGTCGCCCTTCCTAGGCCCTAGCCCGTCGCCCTCCCTAGGCTCTGGCCCGTTGCCCTACCCTAGGCCCTGGCCCGTTGCCCTACCCTACGTCTTGGCCCGTCGCCCTAGCCCGCTCTTCCGCTGCGACTGAGTCCTCTTCCCCCCCGGTTGTTACTCGCCTGTTCGTTCGCGTTGGTTCTCACTATGGCGACTCCGCGAGTTCTTCGTTTCGACAACGACGGTAGACCCCTTGACTTTTCCGTCTGGCTTCTTCGCGCTCGTCGTCTGTTAGAGAGTCAGGTCCAAGGGGGCGAGACCCTCTGGTCGCACGCTACTGGTGACCTCCCCGAGCCCCCCGAGCCTACAGCTTTAGGCCCTGCTCCTGACGACGCTGCTACGGCTCGCTTTGCCCGTCAGCGCGCTGACCGGACGGCTTGGACGTCGCGTGACGCTGCGGCCTGCATCGCACTCAGCAGCCTCCTCCCTGAGTCCGAGGAGGTCCACTTTACTCAGGTTCGCACCGCTGCTGCGTACCTCACTGCGATTAAGGCCCGCTACTCTACTCCCGCTACTGTCTCTCTCGGCCGTCTTTTCCTCCCGTTCCTGTTTCTTGATCTTGCCTCGTTTGAGCGCTCTGCTGACTTGATCGCTCACCTCCGCTCGCTCGACGCTAGTTACCGCGCTGCTTGCACTGAGGCACAGCTTGCATTGCTTCCTCCCCCCATGGCGATTACTGTCTATTTCATCGCCACTAGCCTCCCTGACCGCCTTGCCTCCGTTCGTGACGCGCTTCTGCTGAAGCACCCTAGTGAGCTGACTATCGAGGTCCTTGAGTCTGCACTCAAGGACGTCGAGAGCAACCTTCGTTCGGTAGCTGCCGCCTCTGGTACTGTGTCCCCCCCACTCTTCCACGGGTGCACAGTCCCGCAGTTACCCACCTTCACTGCCTCTCTTGCCACTGCCGCTACTAACGCGACTGCGGCTGCTGTTACGACTGCGTCGCGGTCCCGCGGCAGGGGGGGCAAGAAAGGTGGCTCCGGTGGAGGTGGAGGCGGAGGTAGCGGAGGTAGTGGGGGTGCTGTTGCGACTGGCGGTGGTGGGAGTGCAGCGTCTGGAGAGACCCCTCGTGCAGCGGCTGGTGACTCCACTGCACCTGCTGGTGGCGGCGACCCTCGAGCTCGTCAGTCGCCTCCTGTACTGCCGGCCCCGCTAGGTGGAGCAGCGACGTGGTACCAGGCTCAGCGTCAGCAGCACCTTCAGCAGCAGCAGCAGCCCCTTTCCTCCCAGCAGCCTCAGCAGCAGCAGCGTCAGCAGCTGGCTCCGGGGTCGGGGCTGCGTCAGCCCCAGCGCGGTGCTGCTTACCCTCCCTGCCCCTACCAGGTTCAGACAAGTCCTCGTCGGGGCCACCCTTGTGGCCGCTTTCACCCCCCTGGTCAGTGCTTTGCTCAGCTCACTGACACGGTCCGGTTGACCTACGGGGTTGGTGGTCCTGTTCCTGACTGGCTTCCTCTGGTTCAGCGCTACGGCTCCGCTCTGTGGGGCATGTCTGCTAAGCAGTTAGTTGATCTGATTAGTGCTCCTCATGCTATGTATGCTGTTGTTGACTCTAGTGTTTCTGACTCTGTTTACTCTGGTGTTGTTAGCTTAGGTGCTAGTCTTGCTCAGTTGCCTGTTGCTAGTGTAGGTACTTGTGTAGACTCTAGACCAGCGACTACCTCAGAGGACGCTTCGCTGTCGTTCACACTGGACTCTGGAGCCTCCCACTGCTTCTTTCGGGACAGCACGACACTTACACCACTTCCTGCGCCTGTTTCTGTTGCGTTGGCTGATCCCACTACGGGACCAGTCACTGCACGTCACACTACCACTTTACCGTGTCCTGCTGCTCCCTCCGGGTCTCTCACTGGGTTTCACGTCCCCTCGTTCTCCCGGAACTTGGTGGGCGTGCGACCCCTCGTGAGTCAGCACGTGGGTGTGTGGTTTGAGCCTTCTGGAGAGACTGCGGTGTGTGTTGACGGAGACTCTTACCAGCCTCTTGCTACCTTTACTGCTGAGCCGGGCTCGGGTCTCTACACTCTTCACACTGGCCCACGTGCGCCGCAGCAGCAGCCGCAGCAGCAGCAGCAGCAGCAGCACCAGCGGCCGCACCAGCAGCCCCCCCTACTGCCACTGCCCCCGGTTCCCCCCCCCGTTCGGGTCCCCGCGTCTCACCAGGTTGCTACGTCCCCCCAGGTGTCTGTGTCGTGTCAGGTTCCTACGTCTGTTCCAGTCGCTGCGTCGTGCTCCTGCCGGTCGCTTGCCCACCCCACCGTTCTGTGGCACCACCGGATGGGGCACCCGTCCCTTCCACGTCTGCGCGCTATGTCTAGTCAGCGTCTTGTCCTAGGCCTCCCACGTGTCTTGCCGTCGCTGCCGCCTTCGCCTGCGCCGCCGTGTCGTCCCTGCGTCGAGGGTAGGCTGCGCGCCACCCCTCACTCCTCCTCCCTTCGTCCAGCCATCGAGCCTTTTGAGACGCTTCACTTGGACGTCTGGGGCCCAGCCCCTCGTCTAGGCCCTGAGCGTGAGCGTTACTTTCTGGTGGTCGTTGACGACTTCTCCCGCTACACCACAGTGTTCCCTCTGGCGAAGAAGTCTGAGGTGACTTCTACGCTGATCAGGTGGTTGCTCACCACTGAGGACACTCGTGGTCGTCGTGTCAGCTGTCTTCACTCCGACCGTGGGGGTGAGTTTCGCTCCGGCATTCTCGCTGGATTCTGTCGCGAGCAGGGCATTCGTCAGTCCTGGACGCTTCCAGAGTCCCCACAGCAGAATGGGGTTACTGGGCGCCGCATAGGCCTGGTCATGGAGATCGCCCGCACCTCCCTGACTCACGCCTGTGCCCCCCATTTTCTGTGGCCCTACGCGGTCAGGTACGCCGCGCACCAGCTGAACCTCTGGCCACGTGTCTCTCGACCAGAGGTTTCACCGACCAGTCTTTGGACAGGGTCCCCTGGTGTTGCGTCGCGGTTTCGTGTCTGGGGGTGCTTGGCTCTTGTCCGCGACACCTCCGCGGACAAGCTCTCGCCTCGTGCCGTCCCTTGTGTCTTCCTTGGTTTCCCTGAGGACTCCTCTGACTTCACCTTTTACCACCCTCCCTCTCACCGGTTCTTTGACTCCCGTGACGTCCGTTTCGAGGAGTCCACTCCGTACTACGTCAGGTACCCCAGTCGAGGTCTCCCGGTTCCTCCTCCCCCCCTCTTCCTGACTGCCGTTCCCCCTCCTGCTCCCCCGGTACAGCCTCCCCCCCCTGGTCCAGCCCCGTCAGGTGTGTCCCAGGCTACCCCTCCTCCTTCGGTAGCCCCTCCGGTACAGCCTCCCTCCCCACAGTCCTCCTCGCAGCGTGCCGCTGGTGCTAGCTCTCGAGAGGTTGGTGCGACGCCTGTTCCTGTACCGGTTTCTGGTTCTGGGGGTGCTGGAGTTAGAGCTGGAGTTGGAGCTGGAGTTGGCACTGGAGTTTCTGGTTCTAGGGGTGCTGGAGTTGGAGCTGGGGTTGGAGCTGGAGTTTCTGGTTCTGGAGTTGGAGCTGACCAGGTGGGTGCAGAGGACTCTTGTCGTCCGGGAGCTGGTGCTGGCCGCGCGGACACTGGGGGTGCTGCGTCTGGAGGTGAGGGTGCGCCTCCTTCGGGTTCATGTGAGCCTGGGTCTGGAGCTGGTGTTAGTGCTGCCTCTGGGGGTGGTGAGCCTAGTTCTTCTGGAGTGGACTCTGGAGCTGCCGCTGCTTCGGACACTACTCCGCCCCCCCACCCCTACCCGACTAGGCACCAGGCTCGTGTTCGCCGTGCCCGTGACGAGCAGCTGGCGTTGGAGAGAGAGGAGAGGGAGTTACAGCGGCTGGAGGAGCAGCAGCAGCAGCTGGAGCCGCAGGAGCAGCAGCAGCAGCAGCAGCAGCTGGACCCGCAGGAGCAGCAGTCCCAGCAGCAGCCGCTTCCGCAGCAGCAGCAGTCGCAGCAGCAGCAGGAGCAGCCACTTCCTCCTCCTGTCTTGGGTCTTCGGACCCTTGGTCTCCCCTCCCCTTCTCCTCCCTCCTCCGCCTCTCCTCCTGTCTACGGTCCCACGTTTCCTCCTCCTGACTCCTCCCCCGCTGTTTTCCCCAGTTCTCCGCCTTTGTCCTCTCCTCCTCCGTCTCGTTCTTGGGCTACTCGTCGCTCCCCTCGTGCTCGTCCCTCGTCTCCTGTTCCCTTCACTGACCTTCGTACTGCCTTCCTTCTTTCTAGTCCACCTCTTCCGTCTCAGTCTGTGCTTCCGTCTCCTCCTGAGTCGGCCCTCACTGTGTCGCTCCCTACTCCTGTCACTGACTACTACCGCACGTACCGTCCTGTTCTCTCTCGTGTTCTCGCCTCTCTTGTTACTCACCCTCGTGCCTCTGTGTCCTCTGTGTCCGCTCTTACTGCCGCAGTTACTGACTTTGCCTCTACCCGCCGCCTTGACTACGCCACCACGCTTGTGGCTGCTCCTCCTACCAGTCCTCTGGCCGTCGGGGGTGTGTCTGCCCTTGGCTGTGACGCCCTAGAGGACAGGCAGTTTGAGCTAGAGTTCCTGGCGGCCGCTTCCCCTCATCTCTGTGCCATGCTCCTCGCCCCTGAGGGTGACCCCGACGCCCTTGACATTCCGACTCCTCGCACTTACGCTGAGGCAGTGTCAGGGCCTTGGGCCTCTCAGTGGAGAGCTGCCATGGACGCAGAGATGGCCTCCTACAGATCCACAGGCACCTACGTCGATGAGGTTCCCCCCCCTGGGGCGAACGTAGTCGACGGCATGTGGATCTACAGGGTGAAGCGGCCACCGGGATCTCCCCCGGTCTTCAAGGCGCGCTACGTGGCTAGAGGTTTCAGTCAGCGCGAGGGAGTTGACTTCTTTCAGACCTTCGCACCTACCCCGAAGATGACCACTCTTCGGGTGTTACTACACGTAGCAGCACAGAGAGACTACGAGTTACACTCTCTCGACTTCTCCACTGCTTTCCTTCAGGGCAGCCTACACGAGGAGGTCTGGTTGCGTCGCCCCTCGGCCTTCACTGGCACTTTCCCTCCTGGGACCCAGTGGAGGCTGAGGCGACCTGTTTACGGTCTTCGCCAGGCCCCTCGTGAGTGGCACGACACTCTGCGTTCTACCCTCTCTGACCTTGGGTTCCAGCCGTCTTCTGCCGACCCGTCGCTGTTCGTTCGTCGTGGCTCCACACCGTTCTTTGTTCTGGTTAACGTCGACGACCTCGTTTTCGCCACTCCGGACAGGGTTGCTTTGGCAGACGTGAAGTCCGAACTGCAGAAGAGACACACGTGCACTGATCTTGGTGAGCTGCGCCACTACCTTGGCCTGCAGATCACCAGGGACAGAGCCGCTCGCACCATTACACTCTCACAGTCACACATGGTGCAGCAGGTCCTTCAGCGGTTCGGGCTTCAGCACTCCACCGTACAGCGCACACCTCTAGCTGTTGACCACAGACTCACTGGTCCCTTTCCTGACGAGCCGTTTGAGCCTAGTGGTCCCTACGCAGAGCTTGTGGGTTGCCTCATGTACCTGATGACTTGTACTCGCCCGGACCTCGCCTTCCCTCTCAGCATCCTTGCGCGCTTTGTTGCGCCAGGGAGACACCGTCCTGTTCACTGGACGGCAGCTGTGAGGGTGGCGAAGTACCTAGCGACTACATCAGGCGTGGGGCTAGTTCTTGAAGGGCAGCAGTCTGTCGTACTCACTGGTCACTGTGACTCCTCTTACGCTGACGACGCTGAGACTCACAGGTCTACTCAGGGGTACTGTTTCAGTCTGGGTTCTGGAGCTGTTTCCTGGCGTTCCACGCGCTCCTCTTCTGTCTCGACCTCTACAGCTGAGGCTGAGATTTACGCTGGTGCCATGGCGGCACAGGAGTTGCGGTGGTTGACCTTCTTGCTCGCCGACCTTGGTGAGCGGCCGAGCTCTGCACCGACCTTGTTTACTGACAACAAGGCGTCGATCCTCCTCTGTCGTGAGCCGCGACTGGAGAGCAGAGTGAAGCACATTCACGTCAGGTACTTTCTTCTGCGAGAGTTGCAGAGGCGTGGACAGGCTCGCTTCGAGTTTGTAGAGTCCGAGGCCAACACTGCAGACATCTTCACCAAGGCGCTTCCGCCTTGTGACCACCAGAGGTGTTGTGTGCAGTTACGCCTTGTTGACACAGGTTCTAGTCATGCGTAGACTTGAGTTTATTGCCTGCTTCGTTTGTACTTTTACTATATATACTTGTGATCTCTTGGACTGGCCTTGTGGCCACTGTTGCTTGTGCTCAGAGTGTGTGGTGACGTTGTGATCCACCCTGAGCTTTGTTTTCTTTTGGACTGGTCTTGTGACCGTACTCTTTTTTGTTTTTTGCTAGACACCCCTCACTTAGGCTATGGGGGTGTGTCAAATGTTGTAGCCTGTAGTGAGGTTTGTCTTAGGGGGTACAGAAGTTAGGGTTTGTCATATGTACCCCAACCAACATCAATGGAACATTCATTCCTCATTCTGACACCTCTTCTCGCTCTTTGCTACCGCTCCAACCTGTGATTTCACGAGGCATCTGTGTTCTCCCAGTCACCATCTGCATGTCGCGTGCTCCCATTCCAATTGTACGAGTACTAGGTAGCAATAGTGCTGCTGTTGCTTGTATAGTCAGCTGACCAACCAACTGTAGGCAGCACGGAGGTGCTCAGTGCACTTGTTAGGATTGATACTAAACTGCCTGCCTTACTCTTTGTGTGTATGCTGCTTCACAAAGCGAAACAACAGTATACCACGAAGGACTGAAAAATGATGTATCAAATAACAGTAGTGGTCCTCTCCTCATTATTGTGAATCCAATAGAAGACAGTAAAGCAGTTTATGGTGGTCACTAAAGACGCAGCACATCCCAGTTTACAATGCAGGCCGACTACTGAAAATGCTAACATAAAGAAAACAAAAGTTTATTTATTTTTTCAGGTGTAATGAAGCTAATGCAATGCAATCTGAGACTTCTCTACAGAACAGAAGACGCCGCTTGTCACAGCGGCTCCACTCCGATCTCATCTGCGAGAAAGTGCCTCCTCTTAGTGGTCTCCACGTCTGAAAGCGCAAGCATGCGCTGGCGAAACCCAACGTTCCACCCCTCGTGGCATTGGGCCAGCAATGCTGCACGCTGGCTCCAGCCCATCAGAGGCCGTGACTTTGCTGACTTGTCCATGTTGGTAAATTCCCCGAATCGCGCTGATCAGCTGCAAGTTCAATCTGCTACAGTGGTGGGGGGACCAGTTTTTCCTTCCCCCTCCCATCCCCCTTTTCCCCCTTGTGCCCCCTGTATCCGCTTGTTGGGAATTAGCTGGAGGCTCGGCCTTTGTGAAACCGTCGCTGAGCTTGACGTTCGCCTTGCTCTGGCTCCGCCGAACCAGAATCAAGGCTCTGTCGAGCCAGCTTAGAGGCTTTGAACGCGCGCTGGTCTGGCTCGGCTGCACTAGACACAGAACTTGGTAGGTCTGGTTCGGGTTCGGGGGCCAAGCGTTCTGAAAAGATTTGACCCAGATTTGAGTGTGCGCGCAGGAGGGCGCATGTGCTGGAACAAAGAACACTGTAGTAGATTCGTGCAGAGAAGAGAAATACTGCAGTGTGGCTCTTTTGTGATTCGTGAGACTCGCTGTGAGGCAGAACAAGTCGGTGCAGCGCAGGCGGCAAGAAAACAAGTCGGCTGCCGATGGGGGGTGTCACTTGGAAGGAAGCCATAACTCCAGCCCACACTAGCTTTATCATCCAAAAACAAGCACAACCGATCTCGTCGACTGCGCAAGCCAAGTGAAAGATCCAAGGATTCCGAACAGAGCGTCGAATTCATGCAAAGATGCCGCCGTGCCACGCGCTATCTGTGCCCGACGCCTTAGCAGAAAGCACACCCTTGCCACCTACTACTGCTGGCTCTCCTCGCGCTAGTAGTCCGCGCGGTACCAGCTTCGCCGCCACTCCGTACAAGACGCCGTTTCGCCTCCCCGCGTCGTCGAGCATCGTTCAAGATGCCGTCACCATGCACCACGCCGCGTACGGCTGGACGGACGACTCTGCCGCGAATCACGGCGAAGCCAGCGGCGGCGGCGCGGGTGCGGGAGGAGCGGCGGAGAAAAGAGCCCGGGGGAGCGGCGGGTTTGGTAGCAGCACAGCGCTTGAACTGACCCCGCCATCGTCGCCGTCCAGTGCGGCGGCAGATGCGCACTCACTCGCTGACAGCCTCCGCGACCTTGCTTCTGATACTCAAAATGTCACTACCGACGTTGCTGTTTCTACTGCGGGTGTTTGTGGTGAATCTGACGCTGAAGTTGATGCTGATGGTGGTGTTAGAGCCGCCACGAATCCGAATCAGACCAGCGTTAATGGCGGGCGACACGAAGAGTCCTCGCAGCAGCACGAGGGCACGGAGCACGAAAGGTAACCACGGGGACGAGAAGCAGGGTTGGGCCGATGCCTCGAATGTGCCTTGTAAGAGTGGCGGCGATAGCAGGCAGTGGGAGACAGAGTGAGCACAACTTGCACTAGCTCAGTAGCTTATTGGTGCGGAGATCAGCGGCTAGGAGGCAGTAATCAGCGCCCCGCCCTCATTCCTCCCTCCATGCAACACCCCCGCCGTCTCTTCACCCAACCCTCTCCCCCCCCTCCCTCCTCTCTCTCTCCCCTCCCTCTCCCTTTCTTCTTTCTCCCCTCGCTCTCCCTCTTCACTCACTCCCCTCGCTCTCCCTCCCTCCCGTGACTCCGACTTGCCCCCCCGTCTCCCCGCTCCTCGCTTCCGCACGGCATTAGTGAATGCGTAGCCGCTTAAGACTCCGCTAAACCGCTCGCTCGCTGGCTCTCGTTTCGGATTCACATGGACTCCTCTCGTCCGTTAAACTTCATCCACCCTCTTTGCTTATCCCGCCCTCGTCCCGCGAACTTCCCTTCCCCCTTTTTCCCCTCCCTCCTGTCCCCCGACTCGTCCCCCTCTCAGCCCCGCGCGCCAGTTTGTCCGCGACCTTGCGCTTGTCCGCGCGCTCATCCTCGCGGACGCATGCACTGTGGCGGAAGCGAGTCGGCGAATGGCAGCCCGCCACGTGGACGCGTGTCTGCTGACGGACGCCAAAAGCGGCATGCTGTGCGGTATACTGACGGACCGTGACGTGGCGGAGCGGTGCGTGGGGGAGGGGCGCTCCCCGCAATCCACCCCGTGTCACGCGGTCATGACGCGCGATCCGCAATTCGTATCGCTGCACGCGCCTGCTGCTGTCGCGCTGAAGAAAATGGTCAACGGTAAGGGGCAAGAGGCAAGGCGCAAGCCGCAATGGCGCAACGCTGCAATCCCGCAAAGCTCAAGGGGCAACGGCGCGCGGGATGCTGGGTGCAATCGCTACCTGTTTCCGCTTAGGCGGAATTCCGTAGCATCAGCCTCCCCTTCATCCGCACTCTTTTCACAGTTCCTGCCTTCACTCCCCCACCCAAATCTCTTCATCCCCTTCTTCTCCCCCCCCTCCCCCTCCCTCTTTCTTCCTCTCCCACCCTTCCCTATTCTCCCTCCTCCTCTTTCCCCCCCCATCTGTTTTTCCTCCGCCACAGTCTGTTGGTTGCTGCTTGCCAGCGTTGTCTTTCCCTTCTGGCCGCTTTCCCCGCTACGCGTTCCAAGTGCTATATTTCTCTGTTGCCCGCAGGAAAGTTTCGGCACCTGCCTGTGGTGGACAGCGGGGAGGTGGTGGCGATGCTGCCCGTGCGCAGCTGCCTGGCGGAAGCGCTGCTGCGCGCGGAGGAAGTGCGGGGAAAGGGCGCAGATGTGGCGGAAGCACTGAAAGAGGCGGAGCGGACGGGAGGGGCCGACAGCGCGGCTGCTGGTACGTGGCACTGACGAGACATTCCGTTTCTGCTCCGTTTCTGTCCGTTATCTTTTCCGTTTCCGCTCTTTTCTGCTCCCCCTCACTCGTTTTCATTCCTCTATCCCGTGTTCTCCGTGTCAACCCCTCTCTCTCCGCTCCCTCTCGCTTCTCCCCTTCCCTCCCTCTCCCCGTCTCTCCCTCCCATCGCCCGTGCTGCGTGCAGCCACTCTACGTGCGCTGTGCGACGGCGTCACTCGTCCCGTCATGTCCGCGCTCTTGGCGCCACACACAAGGTGCGCGCGCGCTCGCTCGCTCTGTTCTTCTCGCTCTAGCTCTCGCTCTAGCTCTCGCTCTAGCTCTCGCTCTAGCTCTCGCTCTAGCTCTCGCTCTAGCTCTCGCTCTAGCTCTCGCTCTAGCTCTCGCTCTAGCTCTCGCTCTAGCTCTCGCTCTAGCTCTCGCTCTCGCTCTCGCTCTCGCTCTCGCTCTAGCTCTCGCTCTAGCTCTCGCTCTAGCTCTCGCTCTAGCTCTCGCTCTCGCTCTAGCTCTCGCTCTAGCTCTCGCTCTAGCTCTCGCTCTAGCTCTCGCTCTAGCTCTCGCTCTAGCTCTCGCTCTAGCTCTCGCTCTAGCTCTCGCTCTAGCTCTCGCTCTAGCTCTCGCTCTAGCTCTCGCTCTAGCTCTCGCTCTAGCTCTCGCTCTAGCTCTCGCTCTAGCTCTCGCTCTAGCTCTCGCTCTAGCTCTCGCTCTCGCTCTCGCTCTAGCTCTCGCTCTAGCTCTCGCTCTAGCTCTCGCTCTCGCTCTCGCTCTCGCTCTCGCTCTAGCTCTCGCTCTAGCTCTCGCTCTAGCTCTCGCTCTAGCTCTCGCTCTAGCTCTCGCTCTAGCTCTCGCTCTAGCTCTCGCTCTAGCTCTCGCTCTAGCTCTCGCTCTAGCTCTCGCTCTAGCTCTCGCTCTAGCTCTCGCTCTCGCTCTCGCTCTCGCTCTCGCTCTAGCTCTCGCTCTAGCTCTCGCTCTAGCTCTCGCTCTAGCTCTCGCTCTCGCTCTAGCTCTAGCTCTCGCTCTAGCTCTCGCTCTAGCTCTCGCTCTAGCTCTCGCTCTAGCTCTCGCTCTAGCTCTCGCTCTAGCTCTCGCTCTAGCTCTCGCTCTAGCTCTCGCTCTAGCTCTCGCTCTAGCTCTCGCTCTAGCTCTCGCTCTAGCTCTCGCTCTAGCTCTCGCTCTAGCTCTCGCTCTAGCTCTCGCTCTAGCTCTCGCTCTAGCTCTCGCTCTCGCTCTCGCTCTAGCTCTCGCTCTAGCTCTCGCTCTAGCTCTCGCTCTCGCTCTCGCTCTCGCTCTCGCTCTAGCTCTCGCTCTAGCTCTCGCTCTAGCTCTCGCTCTCGCTCTAGCTCTCGCTCTAGCTCTCGCTCTAGCTCTCGCTCTAGCTCTCGCTCTAGCTCTCGCTCTAGCTCTCGCTCTAGCTCTCGCTCTAGCTCTCGCTCTCGCTCTCGCTCTCGCTCTCGCTCTCGTTCTCGCTCTCGCTCTAGCTCTCGCTCTAGCTCTCGCTCTAGCTCTCGCTCTAGCTCTCGCTCTAGCTCTCGCTCTAGCTCTCGCTCTAGCTCTCGCTCTAGCTCTCGCTCTAGCTCTCGCTCTAGCTCTCGCTCTCTCACCTCACCTTCTCCTCTCCCTTTCATATTGCGGTTCATACACCAACATGGCTGCTTGTTCCCTGTAAACCCGCCCACCCCCCCTCCTCCTGCCCACAACCCTCTTCCCCCAACCCCCCCCCCTCCCCCCCTCACCACCTCTCCTCCCCGCGCGCGCGTCAGGCCCGCGGCGGTGCGCACAACGGACACGGTGGCGGCGGCCGCGAAGGCGATGCGCAGACACGGCGTGACGGCCGTGCTCGTATCGGATTACTACCACCACCACTGTGACTCCGCGCAGGCGCGGGCGCATGAGCGTGAGAGGGAGGAGGCGCACGATCAGGCGCGGGCGCAGGAGGGGGGGAGCGGGGGGAGCAGCGGCAGCAGCAGCTCTGGCGGTGTCAAGGGCCGTGGCGGCAGGGGCAGCAGCAGTGGCAGCAGCAGCCGGAGCAGCGGCAGTGGGAGAGGGGGGGAGTGCGGGAGGGTGGTGAAGGAAGTGTGCGGGATATTAACGTGAGTCATCATTCTCACTATTCCCATGTCCCCTGCTTCCCGTAGTTCATTATTGCGACTTTTGAGAACTCTCAAAAGTCGCACCCATGCTTTCCTTCTCCCTGGTGCTTCTCTCTCACGACTTATCTCTGCCATCCCTCTCGTACCTCACGTCCCGCCCATCGCCCAACCATTTCTCGTTCTCCAACGCTACCCCCTGCCTCCCTTTCCCCGCACCGTGCCCCCGTTTCCAACTGAAAGCTCTCTGCCCCTCTGTCTCACGCTGCACTGCGCTATCCCCCGCCTCACTGCGCTATCCCCCGCCTCACTGCGCTATCCCCTGCCTCACTGCGCTATCCCCCGCCTCACTGCGCTATCCCCCGCCTCACTGCGCTATCCCCCGCCTCACTGCGCTATCCCCCGCCTCACTGCGCTATCCCCCGCCTCACTGCGCTATCCCCCGCCTCTCCATTACCCTGCACTGCCTGCCTGCACTGAGCTACCAGTGTCACATGACCGAGTCTTCCCCCCTCGCTAGCCTCATCCCCTCCCCTCCACTGTCCACACTACCCTGCCCCGTGTATCCCCCATCTGCCCCCTCTGCCCCTCTGCCCCTCTGCCCCCTCTGCCCCTCTGCCCCTCTGCCCCCTCTGCCCCTCTGCCCCTCTGCCCCTCTGCCCCCTCTGCCCCTCTGCCCCTCTGCCCCCTCTGCCCCTCTGCCCCCTCTGCCCCTCTGCCCCTCTGCCCCTCTGCCCCTCTGCCCCTCTGCCCCCTCTGCCCCTCTGCCCCTCTGCCCCCTCTGCCCCTCTGCCCCTCTGCCCCCTCTGCCCCTCTGCCCCTCTGCCCCTCTGCCCCTCTGCCCCTCTGCCCCTCTGCCCCTCTGCCCCTCTGCCCCCTCTGCCCCTCTGCCCCTCTGCCCCTCTGCCCCGGGTGCGTCTCCCCTCTCCCCCTCTGCGCGTGTGCCCCTGCTGCCCGCCAGTTCGCGCGACATTCTTCTGCGTGTCATCGCAGCGGGTTTGGACCCCACCAACGTGCTTGTAGAGCAAGTGAGTCAGCCCCGTCAGCCCCGTCAGCCCCGTCAGCTCTGTCTCTTAAACAGAGTCCCCCCTAGATCGTCTTTCACTGGTGACCACGTCAGGTGGTGGTTGCTCCACAGGTTGCCCTCTCCACAGGTTGCTCTGCTCTGCGCTGCTCTGCTCTGCTCTGCGCTGCTCTGCTCTGCTCTGCTCTGCTCTGCTCTGCTCTGCTCTGCTGCTCTGCTCTGCTGCTCTGCTCTGCTCTGCTCTGCTCTGCTCTGCTCTGCTCTGCTGCTCTGCGCTGCTCTGCTCTGCGCTGCTCTGCTCTGCTCTGCTCTGCTCTGCTCTGCTCTGCGCTGCTCTGCTCTGCGCTGCTCTGCTCTGCTCTGCTCTGCTCTGCTCTGCTCTGCTCTGCTCTGCTCTGCTCTGCTCTGCTCTGCTCTGCTCTGCGCTGCGCTGCTCTGCTCTGCTCTGCTCTGCTCTGCTCTGCTCTGCTCTGCGCTGCGCTGCTCTGCTCTGCTCTGCTCTGCGCTGCGCTGCTCTGCTCTGCTCTGCTCTGCTCTGCGTCACATGGACTGGGGGGGCTTCTGACATCACCTCTCAAACCACCGCCTCTCCTCCCCCACTCTCCCCCCCGCATTACCAACAGGCCATGACCCACGCCCCCGTGACGGTCCCACTCGGCGCATGTCTGCTGCAGGCGCTGCGCCACATGGATTGGGGGGGCTTCTCACACCTACCCGTCACTGACGCTGGTGAGTGGGGGCTGTGGGGTGGGCACACCAGAGGCGGGCGGTGGGGTGGGCACTGGGGGCGGTGGGTTGGGCACGCGTGTCTGCTGCAGGCGCTGCGTCACATGGACTGGGGGGGGTTCTCGCACCTTCCTGTCACGGACGCTGGTGAGTATGGGAGTTAGTTGCTGGGGCATGGGAATGCATAGGTGCATGGGCATGGGCTATGGGTGTGTGGCATGTGAGGGTGTGGCGCCCATTCTCACTGTGCGCTATTGAGTCGACTCAAAAGTCATTTCGGCGCCCATTCTCACTGGGCGCTTGACCTCCCATCCCAACACTGCCGTGGATTGAAGCACCGTAAGACATCCCTTCCCCTCTCTTCTTCCCTTCCCTTCCTACGCTACTTTCCCTCCAGACGGCAGCTGTGTGGCATGTGTGGGAGTGACGCCCATCCTCTCTGCTCTCCTCACCGGCCAGCACTGCCGCCACCTACAGGTACCTCTCCCGTACCGTTCCCCACCGTTTGTCCCATATCGTTTCCCACAATTCGCTCCCATTCCTTATCTCCTCTCGTCTCGTTTTAACATGCTTCAAAGGTGGCATAGTCTTTTAAACCGTGTTTTAAGGTACCCAGAATCAGCATGCACTGTTAGTTATGTAGACTTCTAGTAGGCATCTCACCCATTTGAGAGATGTCCATGATTACTCAGTTGACAGACATACTCACCCATTTCCCTCTCCCCATAAATTCCTCTCTTCTCCCTTCTCCCGCTTACCCTCTCCCTCTCCATTTCCCCTCCACCCATCTCCGCGCCTCTCCCCCACAGCAGCAGCAGGCGCAGCAGCTGCCTGCCGCCATGCGGGAGGCAGTGGAGGGGGCAATGCAGCACGTGTGGGACTCGGCTCTAGAAGGGGCTGAAGGGGAGGACGAAGGAGAGGAGGGGGAGAGTGAGGAGGAGGAGGGAGAGAGTGAGGAGGAGGGAGAGAGTGAGGGGGAGGATAGTGAAGGGGCGGGGGAGAGGATTGGGGGAGAGGTGGAGGAGGACGATAGGGTTGAGGCTACGGCTGGGGGGAACGCAGGGAGGGGTGCTGCTAGAAGGGAGGGGTTGGGGCAAGAGGAGGCCGAGGGAAGTGGAGGACGCAGGAGGCAGAAACCCTCTAATGTGAATCGTGCTGCTCTTGATGATGCTGGTGGTGATACTGCTGTTGCTGGTGCTGCTGCTGCCGGTGCTACTGGTGGTGCCACTGCTGCCACTCGTGCTGCTTCCCGCTCTACCTTCGATGCATGGAGTGACGTTTACACTGAGGCAGGGACAGTGGGGGAGGGTGGGGATGCAGAGGATGGGTATGAGGGGGGAGGGGAGGAACTCTCCATTGCTGGCGGCTTCCCCCCTCACTTCCCTCGCTCTGCTGCTGGTGCTTCTGGTGCTGCTGCTGCTGCTGCAGCTGCTGGTTCTGCTGCGTTTCATCAGCCGGGAGGGTTTTATGGAGGGCAAAGGATGGCCTCTGCTGGTGGTGCTGCTGGTGCTGCTGGTGGTACAGCTGGTGCAGTTGGCGTTGGTGGGTTTGCTGGTGCGTATGGTAATGGTTATGCACCACCTCAAGCCGTGCATATGGCAACGATGCGTACTGTGCATGGGATGGCTATGAACAGTGGACATGGCATGCCTCAGCAAGGCTCGCAGCATGTGATACCAATACACAACAGCGGGGGGCAACAGCAGCAGTGGGTGATGGAGCAGCAGCAGGTGCAGCAGCAACTGCTGCAGTCACAGAGGCACTGGGAACAGCAGCAGCAGCAGATATGGCAGCAGCAACAGCTGCTGCAGTCACAGCACCGGTGGGAGCAGCAGCAGCAGCAGCAACAGTACCAACTGCAGCTTCAGCAGCACCAGCACCAGCAGCAGCAGCAGCACGAACAGCAGCAGCACTGGGAGCAGCAACAGCAGCTTGTCCTTGACAGCCCTAGAAGGTTCCAGAAACAGCTCCCCTTGCTGCACGTGCCACGGCCCAACACCGCTCCTCCCCGCAACACCAACACCAACAACAGCAACAGCAACAGCAACATGAACGAAAGACGACCGTCCTCACCCTTCCCTGGGGCCCCTTTCTCATCAGGAACCACATCAGCGGCAGCAGCAGCCATAGCTAGGCCTGGTACTGCCGCTGCTACTGCTCCTCCTCCTCCTCCTCCTGCTGCTCCTGCCGCCGCGACTGCTCGTGGAGCCGTGACTCCTATGACGGGCAGCAGCAGCTGCAGTACGCCCTCGTGTGCGTCTGTGTGCTCCTCCCCGGCCCTGCTGCCGTTCAAACTCACCGACCACCGCGGCCACGTGCACCGCTTCATGTGTGGTGAGTGGATGGGCATGGGCTGTCTGTATGTGTCCTGGTTAGAATGACATAAGCTGTTTGCTGCCGTTCAAGCTCACTGACCACTGCGGCCATGTGCAGCGCTTCATGTGCGGTGAGTGGGTGGGCATAAGGTGGGTGGGATGTATGCTCTGGCGAGACTGTCACAGGAAGTGTGCGCCTTTTGAGACGTCTCAAAAGTCACACAAAGTGTGCGCATGGGTTGTTTGCTTCCGTTCCGTTCAGTTCAAGCTCGCTGACCACCGACTCATCATGGTCATGTACACAGTAGTACACTCCTTCATGTGCGGTCAGTGGATGCACATGGGGTGGCTGGCTGGGCGTGGGGGGTGGATGCGAGGTGACTTTTGAGTCGTCTCAAAAGTCACACTACACCCGTTCATGTGCGGTCAGTGGATGTGCATGGGGTGGCTGGCTGGGCGTGGGGGGTGGATGCGCCCTCACTCACGTTTTTTCACATCATGGCACCTTGTCCAAAGCCTGCTGTCTGGTGCATGCCTGTGTTTCATGCCTCTGCACACCACAAAGACCCTCAGCAGCACCAACAGCACCATCAGCACCATGTCTCATGCGCATGGTTTGACACATCTCATAACGCGCATAAACACCATGTGTACTGCACAGTTTCGCTCATCTTCCGCTTCCCTCCCCACCCCCTTTGATCCCCCCATCCACTCTCATCCATGTACACGTGGCAGCATGTGAGTCGCTATCGGATCTGATGTCTGTGGTGGCAGCACGCCTAGCATGGGACTACGATCCTACCAACCCGCCCACCGTCCTCGTACGTGCTATGCTCCTGTGCGGTTTCCTGTGCCGCCATTTTTCCATGGAGTTTGTTTCGTTGTCCTAATACAACACGAGATGATGGAAGTAAGGCCTCCGCAGCCCACCTGTCCTCTTTTTACAGCTCCTACCAACCCGCCCACCGTTCTCGTATGTGCTCTGCTCCTGTGCTTGCCATGTGCAACACGTCTGCCCTCCGTATTTCAAGCTGCTTCCCTTGCAGCCTGTGGCACCCATTATTTGTTCATTGTTATGCCATGCCACCATGCCATTATTATGCCACCATGCCATTATTATGCCACCATGCCATTATTATGCCACCATGCCATTATTATGCCACCAGTCCATTATTATGCCACCATGCCATTTTTATGCCACCATGCCATTTTTATGCCACCTTGCCATGGCAGTACATGGTTGAGTATGTTTTTGAGTCGACTAAAAAAATATTTGCTCATCATCATGCCACCATGCCATGGCAGTACATGGATGAGTATGTGAACCTGATGGTGCTGGAGTCAGATGAACATGGTCTTGACTCATGCCCCTTGCCAAGAGCTGAACCCGTCGTGCACAGTGCACCCGCTCCTTCCCCCTTCGGACCCTTTTGAGTCGACTCAAAAGTCACCTCGGTGCACCCGCTCCTTCCCCCTTCGGACCCTTTTGAGTCGACTCAAAAGTCACCTCGGTGCACCCGCTCCTTCCCCCTTGGGACCCTCCCCCATGGCAGTACATGGACGAGGATGGCGATCGGGTGGTGCTGGAGTCAGATGATGACCTGCGTGTTGCCCTCGCTGCTGCTGCTGCTGCTGGTGGTGGTCACCGCTCCCAGGTACAGTGCGGTACTGTAGGGTTTCAGCGATGGCATGGTGCGGTGGTACGGCATGGAAGAGGGGGTATGACATGATGTGGCCTTACTGTGTTCGTGCTTCCCAACTGGGCTTTCCAGGCAGATTCTCTTCTCTACTTTGATCTTCTCGCGTGCTCTGTATCTCACCCTCTCCCGCTTGCTCGTCCATCTTGCCTTTCTCAGCCGCTCATCGTTTTCCCTTTCTCTCATTGTGTTTCCCTCTCTTCTCCCCATGTCCTGCTAATTCCCTTTTTTCCCCGGCAACCCTCCCCCTGCCCTCACCCACTTCAGTCTCGGCCACCTCTCCGGCTATACATAGACACCACACAAACCCCTCCAATGCCTTCCAAGCACCTTCCCAGCTCTACTAGCAGCACCCGCCCTGCTTCTGCTGTCGTCCCCCATCCATCCATCCCTGCTTCTTCCCACGCGCCGCCTCCTCCCTCCACATCACACACTCAGCAGCAGCAGCAGCAGCAGCAGCAGCAACAGCAGGTATATGGAGCGAAGTCTAATGATTTTACCAGATGTCCTGGGGGAGGGAGCAGGGAAGGTGAAGGTGCAAGTGGGATTGGTATACAGAGATGCTCCCATGAAGAATGTGGCTTCTGTGCGCGAAGCCAACCGTGTGAGTCTACGGATAAGAGAACATCGGGTGTTGCGTCATCATGGGACTCACAAACAGCTGCGTATGCAAGTGGAGTGTTGATTGTGGCAGTAGCTGCATGTGCTGCAGCTGCTGTTTTTGGGATGAGGAGCAATCATTCCCTGTTTCTATCCCGTTAATGATTGTGCTTATTTAATTAGCAATAATAAGGTCATATTGCACCAGATTGAGATACTGTGAAAACCGTGGCATGTTAATCTATACATGGTTCTTAAGGGCTAGACCCACGGTAAATTACAAAACTGAGACAACCCCTGGTTGGGGTTCAGACAATTTGAGGTTTACACAAAAGCAGCGCGAAGGAGAAAACAATCTGTGAACAATATGTGCCTTACTGGGCCTCAGATTCGTTTTGGCGTAGGCTGACTGGTCAACCTTAGGAGCGTGTTCATGGCTGATCTGTCAGTGTTGTTGTTTAAAAAAAAACTGATTTTTCAGGGTGTATATTAAAAAAAAAAAACTGAACGATCAGCGTCACTATTTGGTGAAGACTGAACCATTTCAAACACGTTCTGCATTGATATAACAAACGTTTACAGGAAATCTAATTAAACATATCCTCATCCTCTTCATCATCATCACCCTCTTCACTATCACTAGAGCCTAAAGAGAGCGCCGCGGCCAGCGACGACCGCCGCCATGCTAGCTTCACGGGCAGACCGCGGCCCGTGAGGCACCATGGCGACGGGGGAAAGAGACAATCGGCGAGGCGAGGGGAAGGCGAGGCTGCGCGACGAGGGGAATGCGGGACGACTGGAGGCTGCAGGGAACGACGCGGAAGTTTGGCTCTGCGAGCGGAAAGGAAAGGGAGCAGAAAAGAAATATCTCTATCCTAAATCGTACTTACCTATTGGGCATACTGGTGTGTTGCTGCCGCACTGATGGGCTGCAGAGGAGAGCTGCAGAGGGATGCGGGTGGAGAAAATACGGAGAGGAATACGGGAAGCACGAGGGAGTGAAAGCGGAATCGCGGTTCCCTCTATCCCTCGCAACTCCCTCTCCCACGCAGCTAACTATCTCCCTTGCAGCTCACTCTCTCCGTCTCAGCCTGATCAAACGGAAACGAGGGAACCAAATGCGGGGGGCGATGAGGAGTAACGAGAAACAAATGTCTGTAGATTCGTACCTACTAAGATGGCGTTGCTGCTGAGCTGAGCTCACGGGCTGAAAAGGAGTGGGTATTCCCGTCAAGGAATATGCACGAACGAGAAGTGCAGCTCACGGGCTCACGGGCTGAAAAGGAGTGGGTATTCCCGTCAAGGAATATGCACGAACGAGAAGTGCACAGATACCATTCCCGAATGCGTTGGCAAGGAATCTTGCCATTTCGGCGTGATTGACGGAGGGACGGTCGAACCGGTGTACCTAGACATCCGGAATTCAGGGCACCTACGCTAATCTCCATTACAGGGATTTCAGCCAACCCCTTCGTACAGATATGTACAGATCAGGGCTTCAGATTCGTTTTGGGCCACCCTTAGTAATCAGGGTTCTAGGTATAGTCAACCCTGGTGCATGGGGTAAAATTTTTGTTTCCCTGACAAATGCAGGGTAAAAAACAGTTAGTCTGTTAGGGCAGAGTTCTTAAAAAATTGTGTATATTAAAAGTGCCAAAGCAATAAATTTCAATGGCTAGTAGTTCAGCTGGGATGATGGCGCACTAGATCTGGAAGATCGGAGGTTCGAATCTCGCTAATGAGATCACTTTGTAGGGACCTGTATAGTGTTTCGTCTCGCTACGGAGCACCCGGTACCAGTATAGCTGGGATTGTACAATGTACAGTCAGAGTAATGTGTTCCTTATGCTGTTTTTCAAAGGGTATTGAAAAACTTACACTTTCTGGCCTAGGGTAAAAAATCCACTACCCTGCCTGTGAAAGGGTAACTGAAAAAAAGCGGCCGCCAGTCAGTGCAAAAAGGGTATTTTACCTTGATAACGAGAGGCCTGGTACAGATATATGTTACGAGTGCAATTGAGTGATCGAATGAGAATTGCACTATCGAAGTAAAGAATACAATGAGCGAAGGTATGAGCGAAAAATATATAGCGAAGCTACATTGGTAACGGTAATGAACTGTGGTTGACGCCCGACGGGCCTGGAATTGAGGTGTGGAAAATGTCAAGGCGGAGGACCGGAGCGCGGGTTACCCGCCGAGCCGTGAGGTCGGAGTGCGACGTGCAAAGGTGGCGGGAGGATTGTCAATGCGAGGGTTGCGAGTGGTAACGGTGTTAGAATATAGTAGCAGGAATCAATTGACTCGATCAGGGTTTGGTACGAATATGAAACCCTAATAGGGTTGTACCCCATATTGGCTACCCCACTACAGCCTACAGATATATAGCATGCATATAATTTGACACACCCCCATAGGCAAAGTGGGGGAGAGCAAGGGGTCACAAGACCAGTCAAGAGAAGCAAAGCAAGCTAAGGGTGGATCACAACGTCACCACACACACTGAGCACAAGCAAAAGGTCACAAGGCCAGTTCACATGCAGAGGTATATATGCAACAACAACAGCACATTGATCTCTACCTACCAGGAGCAAGCATGCATGTATATATATATATGTATATATCTATGTATATATATATAGATCACAGTACAGGCAGAGCCTACAGCAAGTGAGGAAACGTAGGCACAAGGCCCAACAAAGTACAAAAGCGCTGATGATCACCAGGCGGAAGTGCCTTGGTGAAAATATCAGCAGTGTTGGCCTGACTGGCCACATGAGCAAAACGAAGCTGACCACGCTACTGCAACTCTCGAGCAAGGAAGTAACGCAGAGCGATGCGCTTCATTCTGTGCTCCAGTCTGTGCTCCTGACACAAGGCAATGGCGGCCTTGTTGTCTACGTACAGCACTGGAGGATGTCAGAATATGTTGTTTGTGTAGCCTGCAGTGGGGTACTCAATACTGAGTATAGCCCCTTAGGGTTTCCCATTTGTATCCTGCTGCTTGCTAGTTCAATCATTCCTTCTCAATTCTCTTCGTGCACACAACTCTCGCTCGTACTTGGTTCCTCGTTCTAGTCTTCCTGTGGCCTAGGCTACTAAGCCTAGGCCCGACTACTTAGTATATTTGACATGGTATCAGAGGGCGGCATGTCTGCCGCCTTCCTGTGTATGGGCCCACCACCCGCTTCCGCTGCCGTACTGTCCGCCGCGCGCCCCGTGGTGCGCGGCGGCGAAACCCTAATTTCTGCCCGCCGCGCGCTCGGGGCGCCTGGCGGTTTTCCCTTCCGTGGCGCCCGTCGTGGTGCCCTTGGGGAGGCCTCCGCGGTCCCCTCCCGTCGAAGCGCCCGTCGAGGCGCTCTCGGGGGCCCGCACGGCCTCCCCTCCCGTCGCCCGTCGAGGCGACCTCGGGGACCCGCGCGGCCTCCCCTCCCATCGCCCGTCGAGGCGACCTTGGGGGCCCGCGCGGCCTCCCCACCAGTCGCCCGTCGTGGCGACCACGGGGGCCGCGCGCAGTCCCCTCCCGTCGCCCGTCCAGGCGACTTCGGGGGCCGTGCGCGGCCCTCCCCGTTGCCCGTCGAGGCGACTTCGTGGGGCCCGCGCGGCGCCCTCCCCGTCGCCCGTCGAGGCGGCTCTGGGGGCCCATCGCGGCGCCCTCCCTGGTGCCCGTCGCGGCGCCCCCGGGGGGGGGGGGGGGGGGCGGCTCCCTTCTCGTCGCCCCTCGGGGCGCCCTGGGGGCCGTGCGTTTCTCCCCCCCCCCCCTCTCCTCCTGCCCTTCAACTGCGGTGGCCACCCCTGGAGCCGCCCGCCACTGCAGCAGCAGCCCTTGGAGCCGCCCACCACTGCAGCAGCAGCCCCTGGAGCCGCCCACCACTGCAGCAGCCGCCCCTGGAGCGGCCCGCGCTTGCAGCAGCCGCCTCAGGACCCCTGCAGCAGCCCGCGGCCCGCCCCTGCAGTTGCTCGTGATGCCGTCCCTACACCCCATCCCCCCCCCCCCCCCCCGTGGTGTCCATTCTCCCGTTCTGCCGTGTGTTCCGCGGTGGTTGGGGGGTGGGGTGGCGAGCATGGGGGTGAGAGGTGTGGGCTTTCCCCTTCCCTTTTCCCTCCTCCTCTTTTGTCTCCCACTGCTGCAGCTGCCGCTGCGGGGGGGTGGAGGTGTGGGAGCCGTGGGGAGTGGAGCTAGGGGGGTGATGTGGGAGTGGAGCTAGGGGTGAAACTGGGGGTGTGTGTAGGGGGGTGTGGGACAGTTGGGGGAGGTTGAGTGGAGGCAGCCGTCTTGTCGTCCGCAGCGCCTGTAGTCCAGAGCCATCGCGCTCTAGTAGCCCAGCGAGCCTGCTGCGCCAGTCGCCCGTGGGTCCGTTGCTCCTGCCGCTCGTCGTAGCCGCGGAGCCTGTTACTCCTGTAGTCCGGAGCCATCGTGCTCTCGGTAGCCACTTGTTAAGAATGCTAGGAAGAGGTTGGCTTAGGAGCCATAGCTTAGGAGCGTTGGAGATTGAGTTCGAGTGAGTAGGATTAGGAGAGTCGAGAAAGTTTCAACAAAGAGGGGTTTCACTATAGAGCGAGCAGTACAAATAGGCAAGATGAAAGGTGTACCACCACAACAGAACATTATATAACTACAG